ACCCTTTTTGCTTTGTTCAGGCCCGGTCCCCGGGCCTGGTTCCGGCCCCAGCCTGGAGCGCGCTCGTTAGGCCTGTGCTAATGTGTATACCACCTAGGTTATGCAGCCTGGAGGACACAGTTCAAATTTCTTCTACTGTTGGTAGTCTTGACCCAGGGGCGCTGTTCCTGGCTTGGGCATTTAAGCTCCCTTCCAGGGGTGCTCTTGCTCTGGCCTGGCCAGCAGAGTGTGCTCCACCGGCTGGTGGAGCTCTCGAACAGTTCCCAGTTTTAGTGGGTCCTGTGGTCCGGGTGTTGGGGTAGGGAGTCTAGGTCAGGGTCTGGGGATTCCCTCCAGCTCTGGTCTCCCTTGAGGGATTCACTGTCCCCTGTTGGGTACTCACCCTGTAGGTCATCAGTTGTTGTTGCAATCCGAGTTCAGTTGGGGTGGTTGCGGGCTGGGTTGGGCGGCCCCCCGCCGGGTAGTTGCGATCACGGTTGGGCGGGTGGTCTGCCGACAGGTCCCTTTGTCGCGCTGCTGGTGCCGGGCGGCTTTGGCGGGATGGAGCCTCTCCGCTCTGGTGGAGAGTGATGGGTGGGGGTGGGATCCTCGTGGAGACTCCCGGCTGGTAGGTTTCTCTGTTCCTGGCGATCCGCTGTTCTGCAATCCGGTACCTGGTGATCTGCAAGCAGCCCCCTGTGTCTCTGTGTCTCCAGCAGCCCCCGCCGGGCCGGCTGGCCGGCGGCTTGGCGCACTGCCGCGCGGCCAGTAAAGGTTGGGGGAGGGGTCTTCGCTCTTCTCTGTTCTGAATTTCTTCTTTTCCTCTCTTTCTTTTTTTTGTTATTTTCCACCTCTGGTTTTTCTCTGAGTGTTCGTCTTTTTGTTGTTGTCGGTCTCTTGGGGAGATTAAACGTTGGAACTCGAACTCTCTTTTTGGTTGGAGAGAGCTGTGGCGTTTCCCTACTGCCCCGTCGCCATCTTGGTCCCCCCTCTTTTTTTTTTTTTTTTTTTGCTGGTTAATTGTTGATAAAAGTCTCCTGAACTTTCCTGCTCTGGGTCTGGCTTTGAACCACAATCCTCAGATCTCAGCCTCCTGAGCAGTTAGGATTGGAGGCATGAGCCTTTTTTTTTTTTTTTTTTTGGTCGGTCGTGGGGCTTGAACTCTGGGCCTGGGCACTGTCCCTCAGCTCTTCAGGTCAAGGGGAGCGCTCTACCACTTGAGCTACAGCGCCACTAGGCATGAGCCTTTTAAACAGATGTTTTAGATAGGAGACCATGAACAAACATTTATCATAAAAACAGTCCCTAAAGAATGACTGGAAATTTGTGGAATGCTGATAGTTCACACCTGTAATCCTAGCTACTCAGGAGGCTGAAATCTGAGGATCGTGGTCCAAAGCCAGACTGGACAAGAAAGTCTAGAGACTCTTATGTCCAATTAATGACCAAAAAGCCAGAAGTAGAGGGGTGGCTCAAGTTATAAAACACTAGCCTTGAGCAAAAAAACTCAAGAGACATGTCCAGGCTTGGAGTTCAAGCATCAGGATCCAGAAAAGAATAACTGGAAACCAAGAAAAATAAGATTCATTTTACAAGAATAGAAGTGAGTTTAGGAAAAGTTTGTGTCCAGTGTGTGTGTTTGCATGTGCACATGTGTGTGCCTTGGAACTGGGGCTTGAACTCAAGACCATGGGCTCTCTCCCAAGTTTTGAGGATTTATCTGTTTGTGCTGGCTTCAGGTTTCAATCCTCAGATCTCACCCTCTGTTGGGATATAGGCATAAGCCATTGGTACCCAGCTAGAAAAAGTAATAATTTTGGCTAGAGGCATAGCTCAAGTTTTAGAGTATCTGCCTAGCAAGCGCAAATTCTAGTAGCACCCCAAAAACATTAATCCAAGTGGTAGCATTCTGCTGGGTGATAGAAATTTTTAAAAATGAGACACAATTCTTGCCCTCAAGATCATTTATGGCCTAGCACAACAGAGAAATAAGCCACAATTAAAATGGGCCTGTGGGAGTGATCAAATATTCAAAAAATCAGAAATAGGCAGAAGGGACTGGTAAAAAGTGTTCTACTAGGGAAGAATAGGAGATAGTGTTGTCAATGAAGGTAACAGGAGATGACTCAAGGTGATAGTCAAGAACCAGTAGAGTAGCTGGCCAAAGGAAGAATGGAATGATGGATTTTCTAAGAGAGAGAATAAAAAGAGTCAAAGCATAAAGGATTCTGTAGAAAACAGGACTTTGGGGAAACTGAAATGGTTTTGAATGGCAAGAGAGTGATCAGTGTAGCTAGAAAGGCAGGGAATGCCAAAGTTGGGAAGCCATTATGAGCCACTTGGGGCTTTTAAACTGACAAATGGCAGGATCTAATTTTTAATATTTGAAAGATTACTTTCAATGGTGTAAATGATAGATTGAAAGGAAGAGATGGGCTGGAGGCTGTGAGACCAAAAAGGCAGATATAGCTATAAATGAGTATGCTGGGGTTCGATTAATTAGAAGGGAAAAGATTGATGACATGAAATTTGACAAGTAAATGATTGAGAGGAATGGCAGGAGGGAATCCAGCAAGACTTTCAGATTTTTTAAAATTTTTTTTAAATTTAAAATTTTTTTGGGTCTGGTCATGGGGCCTGAACTCTGGGCCTAGGCGCTGTCCCTCAGCTCTTCAGCTCAAGGCTAGTGTTCTACCACTTGAGCCACAGCACCACTTCTGGCTTTTTTTCTTTTTGCTTATGTAGTGCTGAGGAATCGAACCCAGGGCCTCATGCATGCAAGACAAGCGCTCTACCACTGAGCCACCTTCCCAGCCTGACTTTCAGATTTTTGACTTAAGCTGTTGAGTGGTGGTTCTGTTTATGGAAATAAGAAATACAGGTAAAAAAACAGATTGTTTATTCATTCAACTAAATAGCTAGAAATGGAAAGTAAATGAATAACTACAATGCTTTTCAGTGTCATGGATAGAGGTATATTTAGAGAAGCAATTGAATATGTGAGACAGATATATAAATCACACTGAGGAATTAGGGGGAAGCTCTTGAAAGCCTGCATAATCTAGATTTCTTTTAAAAATTGAGGTAATTGTCACAGAACACAAAAATAACTATTTCCCTCTGTATATCACCTTTATAATAACAAGAAAAAAGAAAAAAACAACTATTTAAAGTGTACAATTTAGTGGCACTTAATATACTATACTGGCAGTTGTTCACCCAGCTCTAGTTTTAACTAACCTGAATTTTGAAAGATAAGTAGGAATTCACTGGATAAGGACGAGGGTGAGGGAAAGCACTGAAGGATATAGAAAGAGTGTGCTTGATGATATCAATATCAGAAATTTCAAGATAGGTGGAGGATGCAAATAGGGGAGTGGTAGAAGACAAGTCAAGGGAGGTAGGTTTGGTGAACCTCCAATGTAGGCTAAGCCTGAGGTTGACATAAAAAAAATAAATCTTTCAGAAAGATTACTCTGGAAAGACATGAGGAAGAACCAGGGCAATGAGTTTTGAAGTTTTATTCCAGAATCCGAGTGAGAAGTGATAAAAGTCCGAGCAAAGGTGATGGTAGTAATAGAGGGAATGGAAAAGAAGAGATAATAAGAATGCAGAATTGACCTGACTGGATGATTGATGGGGCATCAGGCTAGAAGAAAAAGGATGATTCCTATCATTCTGCCTTGGGTGACTGTGATAATGTTGGTGGCAGCCTGGTAACATTTTCTGGGAAGATGATCAGTACAGGTTGGGAGCATTGTTTATGTTTTTGGAGCCTCAACTAAGTGAAGAGTCTGAGTCAATTTAATATATTGATCTGGAACTCAGTAGAGAAATACAGGCTAGAGGCAGAGTTGGGATTTTTTTCTGTTAGTAAATGAAGTCATGAGTTTAGATAAAGTTACTCACAAAAAAAGATGTAGAGAAAGATGAGCAGAGGATAAATAGGGATGCATAGATCATAGAGCTATGTAGATAAAAGGCCTGGTCATACTGAAGCCAAGAAGGGACAGAAAAGTTCGGTGGAGCTGAACAGTGAGGAGGAGGAGGAGAGGGAAAATGTTGGTCTAATTTGAAGTGGGGAAGCTATGGGAGTCTGTGGGCCAAAGCTATTACTTTGGCTTTATTATTGATACTGGGGCCCCAACAGATGTTACATGTCACTCAACTCCAAAATAGGTGATTTATTTTTCTATACATTTCTTAGAAACAATATTCTAGTACATAAAATTTCTTCTCAAATTAATTTTATGAAATGAAGACAAATGCTCACCAGATATGGCTTACATCCCCTCAAGAAAAGTTTTTTTGTTTTGTTTTGTTTTTTAATTCCCTACGTTGCATCCTCCTCTTAGTTCTGAGGCCTGAAGATGTATCAGTCAATTCTTGGGCCAAAGAGAGGAGAGAAAACAAATCTTAAGCTGTCCTATCCAATCAGGAGCTGCCTCCTTTTTAAATTTGTTCTTGTTGTTATATAGAAATTCTCCTTCAGCTTCTTACGACTTCTTTGCAGTTGCTTCCTTCTTTGCCTCCCAGAGCCAGAAAAATACTTACCCTGACACTCTAAATCTCTCAAATAAGTCTGAAAAGAGTATTTGGGTGGGAATAGTCTGTGTGGGGTCCTGGAAGGCTGATAGTTATTCTGAGTATGGTAGTTAGGACCCAGATTGAGAGTCATAGGACTTGTCATCTTTTCCTCTCTCATACTGGCCCACTTCACCCCCTACTTCCACATTTGTTTGTTAGGATTACAACTTGAAAGGGATAGTGGGAGGGAAATCAGAGGGTGCTTTTTCTTGAAATATTACAACTCTGGAAGATAACTGGTGTTTCTTTCCTAACCTCCTCCCTTGCCTTACTTGAATACAGCCTTCTGGGGAATAAAGAGGCTGAGCCCTGAGAGAGTGCCGTAGCAGGTTTATGCTTTGTTCCCGGGGACTCTAAACCCTCCCTTTGAAATTGCATGGGAAGAAAAGCAATGCCTATTTTGAGGTTTCCTTAATGAGCTCTACTCTTTATACAGAAAAATTTCTATTGAACTTCTCTGTCTTGCCAGAAGTGATGAGGGCACCAAAGCCCGATTTATGGGAGAATGCATAGGCAGAACGTCGAAGGCTTGAGTGTTTCATTCTGACCCGGATTGGGGGTGGCAGTGGATGTTTCATGAAATGATGAATTTTGCCATAAACCTATATCCAGAGCACAGGAGACAGGGTATTTTCATCCACAAAGGCAAAGAGGATCATAAATTATCTATGGGTGGGTTCCCTGTTCCACTCACCTTGTCCACACTGAGAGGCCACAATAGTGGTCTGAGAAATTTGTACCCAATCACAGGAATGATACAGAAGGTCACACAGAGGATAACACAGAGCCACATTTGTGGCTGGTATAAAGTGTTCCTGGCCACACCTGTAAAAGGGGACAAGAGAGGGAAAGCTGAAACCGAGCCTTGAGTAAGGGTAGGGTGAACAGTGGGAGTTACAGCCAGGACTGGGATACTTCTCCAGTCCAAAGATGGAAGTTATTGATTTGGAGACAGTCTTGTCTCCTGAGAAACATGAAGTAGTTAAGACCTTCTTGTTGCTAAAATAAATTTACATGGCTTTATTTCCCTCTAAAGGCAGGGCAGGACAGGACAGGACAGTGTGGGTATAAGGGACTGCTAGCATATTGGCCTGGTCACATAAATGGGATATCTCTGGCCACAGAGCTAGCACATAGTAATAGCTTTTCAGTAAACACTTGTTAACGGAATATACTTGGTTAATTCCCACTTCCACTTTCTGGGGGGCCTTACCTAGAAAATGGAAGATGCTGGGGAACATTAGACACAAGCCATCACTGTACAGGAAGAATAAAATGCAAAAGTAGACACTCAGGCTACCCCAGACGAAGAAGTGGATTATCATTGTCCAGTAGGTTATCTTCAGGGCAATCTGAAAAGCACTAGTTTAATGTGTAACTAAGACTCACCAGCCACCTCCCTTCTCAGGATCTCCCTTCCCACCTTTCCTCCCTCTTTACCTCCCTCTCTCTCCAGACAGGCTTCATACCCCAGTACCCTTATTCCCATTACTGCTGGCCACACCTGTATTGTGACCACACAGATCAAGGAAGTCTGCACTATCAAGGAGAAGGATTGGTAGTCAGAGATGTCCTTCCCATCTTTGCGCTCTGCGTTGTAAATGGTCCCCATCGGGATAAAGAACAGCACAAAAGAACTGTAGATCCCATGCATTAAACACTTCATAAATTCCTTCTTGTTGAAATACAGGTTGTGCTGGCCTGGCTCATACAGCTCTGGAAAATGTAGACTCCATGTTTCATTCACATCCTGGAAGCACCAGAGGATAAGGAGGAAGGCTCAGGGTCTCTCCAGAGAAAGTTTCATATCCATGAGAGTAGAGGCTTCTCACCTCCTTGAGTGTGCTGGCCGTCAGCCTACTTAGGCACTTTTTCATGGAATACTTGAGATGTGGAATGAGGGAAGAAAGCAGTTAGCACAGACTCTTCCTAAAGTCCTGTCTAGGCAAGAATCTCAGTAGTGGAAGAAAGCTAGAGGAATGTCAGGATGCTAGGAAGTACTTTGAGGCAGTTATGTTTGGGAAGTTGGGGCAATTTGGGTCAGAGATAGCTGGAATGGAGGACTGGAAGGATGTGCGAGTCACTAGGAAATAGGGTTGATGTTCTTTTTTGTTGTTGTTGTTGTTGTTGTTTTTTGCTGGTTCTGGGGCTTAAACGCAGGGCCTGGGCACTGTCCCTGAGCCTCTCTGTGCTCAAGGATAGCACTATACCACTTGAGCCACAGCGCCATTTCTGGCTTTTTCTGCTTATGTGGTGCTGAGGAATCAAACCCAGGGCTTCATGCATGCTAGGCAAGAACTCTACCACTCAGCCACATTCCCAGCCCCAGGTTGATGTTCTTTTTAGTGAAATATTCTTGGGCTGGAGACATGGCTCAAGTGATAGAGTACTTGCCTAGCAAAAAATAAGAGCCTTGAGCTCCATCCCATGGTACCCCAAACAGGAAAATTAAATATCCCTTGTGTCAAAGCTAGTTGAGAGAAAAAGAGAAGCCACTAAGGAATCAGTTGAACCTTTGGAAGTATAGACATCCTATGATTTAACTTCCATTTCCATAATTACTGGTGAACTCAAGGTAAGAGAATTCTGGATAGATAATGTTGACTCGCCTTCACCCCTAAACAGAAAACTTAGCACAACAAAGCATGAGTTATGACTTTAGATGCAGATTTCTAGAATTAGACCACTGGAGTGCTGTGATACTATACAAACAATTCTTTCTGCTTTAAAGTTGACAGCTACTTCATGGAGAATTTCCTTTACAAGCTACTGCCACCCTGATGGAGACTGAGGATCACGATCCATCCTCTAAGTTATCCCTGGATGTCCCCAGGTACTTTATTCCTAGTTTATTTCTGTAGAGCCTAGGAATGGGACTGGTATAGAAGAGAAGGGAGAAGGGTGCCAGGATTCTCAATACCCAGAAAACTTCTGATAGGAACAAATAATATATCCTTGGCTTGCTGCCTGTGACATAAAGTATCATACCAAGACTCTCCTGCTGGGCCCTAAGGCCCCCCCATACCCCATACAGGCCTTTCTGCATAGACTTATCTTATCCTCACCAATGAATGGGCCTCTCTTTTCTTTTTTCTTTTCTTTTCTTTTCTTTTTTTTTTTGGTCCAGTCGTGGGGCCTGAACTCTGGGCCTGGGCGCTGTCCCTCAGCTCTTCAGCTCAAGGCTAGTGCTCTACCACTTGAGCCACAGTGCCACTTCCGGCTTTTTTCTGCTTATGTGGTGCTGAGGAATCGAACCCAGGGCCTCATGCATGCAAGGCAAGTATTCTACCACTGAGCCACCTTCCCAGTCCCTCTCCTTTCTTGAAGTTCCTTATTTCCGTCGTCTTGCTTTAGTAATCCTTTTTCACCACTTTTGTACCCATTAAATTTATACTACAACACAATTTCTATGTTTCTCTCTGCAAGGACAAAATTGAGATGGAAATTTGGTTTCCTAAAATGAAAGAATTCTTATACTTGCTTTCATGATATCTATATAGATGATGATAACTTTTCCTGTTTTGGAAATTCTATCCTTTATACTTGATCTTGTAAAGTTCAGCTCTTGATGTCTTTCTTACTCTTTGCATCTGAGGCTTTAATCCTGATTAAGAGACTTGTTGCTGGGTCTTACCTGATCAAGTAGACTCATGCACAGGACAGGGAGGGAGGTGTAGATCAGATTGTAGCAGGCGATAAACCAGATATCAAAAACTGTCTGGAAGAATACCAAGGATTTTTTTATATTCCTCCCTTTTCCAAAGCCCCAGTGTCACCTCCCAGGTCCAAGACAACCTTCTCCTGGACCCTGACTACCCATCACCATACTAACATACAGCAATATTTAGATTTCAGAAATCTAACTGTGAACACCAGCATCTAATCAATTTTACTCTCTTTAGAACTCTAGGTCCAGGATGGAACAAGGCCATATCAGGTTTTCAAGGCTAGTCTAGACCAACCCAACTATAACTTGCTCTTCTCTGTATAGAAGAACCTCAAATGGCTGCTAGAGAAAACTAGCTGTACCCCTGCACTCCCAGGAAAGTAAACATTTAGGCTTTTTTCTTTATCTTCTTATGGGCATTATATTTTACATTAGCAAGATAGACCCAATTACTCTTCTCTAGCTGGATGCTCCATCATGGGGCCTTAGAGAGGGTTCCTTTGCTTATTAGCCACAAGAGGTCAGCAGCCACATGTGCAGCACACACACACACACACACACACACACACACACACACACACACACACACACACACTCACAAACCAGCCTTGTTTCTCCTATAGACACTGGCTTGCTGGGGAACGCATGTCTACCATTGTCTGTTGATTGGTGTAGAGCTCTCCCAGGCTGATTATTCCTGAAGTTTTCTCTTGGGAATCCTTGAAAGACTTGTGAAAAATTGCCCATGAAAGAGGATTCCTCTTAGGACATCAAAATCAATTGTTACTCTTCCCCACTAGTGTTGTGAAGATTTCATGTTCAAATATGGTAATTCATTCATCAGAGTAACAATTGAATGTGTTTTGGGGCAGGGACTCAGGTAGCCAGGGTAGAGAAGAAGTAAAGGGAAGGTCCAAGTATGGCTACAGGTGAGTATTATAATAGCTTGTCTGGTATGCCCTAGTGCTTCTTGAGGTTTAGTCTGTTCCATAAGGTTTCTTTGGATGCTATTCCAGATCCAGGAATCTTGCTGCATTACATATGTTTGGGAACTGTAGTGTCTGGAAAAGGTTAAAATAGCTTATAGGAGAGTTCTGAAGGGGAGTCAAGACCAGATCAGAACTATACCAAATCTGTTAAGATTTGGAAGTTTAGAGGTAGTGTGGAGTTGGGATATGGGATCAAAATGGGTGGCGATGTGTCATTCATGATTCTCTTTTTTTTCCTGGTACTAGAGATGGAATCCAGGGCTTTGTACATGTTAGATAAGATGCTCCCGGCCTACATATTGCTTTCTAGAGGTAGAAAAAGGTCTGCAATGGCTGAAGCAAGGATGACTAGAGAAGATCCAGTTGAGTAGGGTGGAGGTTGCCACCTAATCTCATACCTGTGCAGAGAATCCATTGTAGAAGGCATACCAGAAGTGCACCAGAGTGAAAGTAAAGTTCTTGTAAAAGAAGTAGTTGAGAAACTTGCACATGCGATTATAAGACCAGCGACCATGGACCAAGAGTAGACGCCGAAGGTAGTGGAACTGGGAGAAGGCGAAGTCACTGCTAAGCATGGCTTGCAACCCCTCTTGGCTGGTGATGGCAACCCCAATATGGGCAGCTGTAATAAAACCCAGAAGCTTCTAAACCACAGAGCTTGTTTTCTGAGATGCTGCCCTGGGAAGTGTAAAGGAAATGCTGAGATAAGATTGTACAAACCTCTACCTTTGGAAAATATTTAGGCCCAGTTCAAAATGACACTTCCTAGTTGAATCTTTTATTCTCAATGGATTGCCCCTCTATACACAAATTGGAAAACAGTCCCTTCTTCTGCATTTTGTTTTGGATGCTACCACTCAAGAATGCCTGGTACAACCACTACTAAAAAGTAGAACTAGAAAGCTGTTCCAGGTATCCTTTGCCCCTACTCTAGCCATCTGGATGCTTTCTCACTGTCAAGATGTTGAGATTTAAAATTCCTGTTATTTTATGCACTTAAAACAATTAAAGATGCAGGAATAATTTGTATTGTTAAAGCTCATAGAATTCACAAACTTTATAGACCGTGATAATGATAATTTGCCTTGTGAATGTTAAAATGTGTTTGTGACTTTAAGTATCACTATTTCACAATACTGTGAAAGATGTGATATTTATGCAATCACCTATCTCAATTTAAAAAATAGGTGGGAGAAGGGATGGGTTAGGAGGGATGGGTGACAATGTTGTCAGACACCTTGTATTCATATGCTGTTTTGTAGAATGGGAACTTCTTTGTACAACTACTTGAGGATAATAGTAATAATAATAAAGTTTTTAAAAAGATGCAGGATGGATTCTAATCAAATGCAGTATTTGAGTACTTAAGTTTATCTAAGGGACTGACTTCTGTTGGAAAGAATGTGTCATGCACACTTTTTTTAGTGAACTCTGCAGGGGATCTAGTTTTTTTTTTTCTGGATAAAACAAAGATTATATTTGATGGAATGTAAGACTGAAGTTCCTAAAAGTTTTAATTGGCCTATGGTAATTCACTATTCTTTTGGCCAAATTCACTGACATTACTGTTGAATAGCTTAATGAAACCTCTAAGGCCAGAATGGTTCTAGAAACAGGAAAGCAAGCAAGAATACTTCGTAGAATTGAAGTTGAATACTGTTGAATGGAACCTGAATAGTGTTGCTTGTGTGGTGCGTGAGATTGGGACTAGAGGACCTCTAGATTTTGTCCTTATCTCACACAGTGACAAACTGCTAGGGGATAACAACATTTACCTGAAAGTAAACCAATACATTTTGGCCATTTGTTTCTATTAGTCTGACGTGACCTCCAGCCAAGGAAGCCAGGGCAAGTTCTTCAGAACATGGTCTCAGGGTACTTTGAGACTATAAGCTACAGCCTTCCAAAACAATATACACTGTAACTCTGGCCCAGAATTTTTTTTTCTGTCAACCTGAAGCTATTGTAGATAGAGGGCATATAATTGTACTGCCTGCTGTTGTGTAAAGGTATGCATGGGTTCATGTGAGACTATGTGTGCACTTACTATCAGTGTAAGTGAATGAATTTGAATGTATGCATGCTTATGGATAAGGGCAGATGTAGGCAGATGTAAATAAGTGAGGGTGCTGGTATAGAGGAACATGAATGGAGTTTCAAAAACAGTACAGATGTATATTGTATTTGACAAGTAGGAGTATGAGCTAGTAATACAGTACCACCCAGATCACTTTGCCCATTAATGAAGAAAGAGCCAAACCATGGCTGGGGACTACTGAACATGCCTTTGATCATGCTGACATCATTGGCCCCATCTCCGATGGCCAGTGTCACCACTGTCTTGTACTTCTTCACCAGCTCTACCACCTGGGCCTTCTGAAGGGGTGTCATCCGGCAGCAGACCACCCCTTTGCACATGCATGCTGTTCGTAGTAGTTCTAACTCCAGGTCCCCTTCTAGAGCAAAGGCCTGCAAGACCAGGATATATACTCACTCTTCAGGATGCTCCAAAAGACTCTTAAGGCAGGGTCTTCCCAGATCCCTCCCCTTTCTTCCTTTCTCTTCTGTCCTTTGAAGGGCAGGCTGAGCTGCTCTCAAAGTGCCAGATCTCTCCAGTGAGGCCTACCCCGCCCCAAGTGAGTTCTAGGGATCCTCTAATGGAAAATTGGTCAGACATCTCACTGGGTCAAATCAGTTGATGAGGCTATAGGACCAATGGCTTTTTGGAGGGTCTGGTTCTACTTGATCTCCCATTTTCCCTAGTGACAGGCCAGTAGTCAAGAATTTAGTTAAAGAAGAAAGTTGTCTTGACTTCGCTTTCTTCCTTTAACCCTGGCCTAGAGTACCTTGGGGAATGTGTCTTTCAGGCAAGAGAACCTCAGGTGGGGAAATAGAAGGATCCATAAGGAAGGAGCGTTGAAATTTCCCTTCTAAAGGGAAGAAAAGAACAGAGCTATAACTTTGTGTTGCCCACCAGACTGTAGCCATTGATGACCAAGCCATAGTTGCTATTGGGTTTCTCCTCAGGTATTTTGAAGGGCGTTTTGGGCTCCTTTGTGAGGAGAATGTTTATGGGATCTGATTCCAGAAGAGACTCGGGTTTTATCTTGTTCCTTGCTGACCTGAAAGCCAAGAGTAATTGTTAGATTCTGTGAAGACACAGAAGTTAGGAAGGAAAATGTGTCCTGAAATGAAAGTGACAGGAGGATACCGGGCCTCTGCAAAGCCAGGCAAGACCTCAGACTAGACTGCTGTAGGTTGTTGTCCATCCATATGCTACAATTCTCCAAACCCCATACTCCAATGCATTTAGTCTGAATGCTTCTTTTAAAAATTCTCTCAAATATTTTCTTTTTCTTGTTTCCCTTCTTTCATTTCTTCCTATTCCTTCTGGTAATGTTGGGACCCTATGGGGGAAATTATGAGTGGGAATTCTTGGGTCCAGGAATTGGGTATGGCCACTTTCCATCCATACCTGAGTTCTTTCTGAATTGTCTCACTATTCTTGCCTTCTACTATGAACACCTCATCCATTTCATCCTTGAATATATTACAGGAGTAGGCAATGTTCACAGCAGTCTCTGTAGAGAAGGGAACACAAGTCTCACTTTGGCTGATGTTTGTAGAAAGGGAGTTCTTTAAAAAAAAAAAAAAGATGTAGTCATATAGGCTCCAACAGTGGGCTTAGCTCATTTGTCTACATTTGCTATGTAGACAAATTTGGATGCAGTCATAATACATTTTTCTAAACCATTGAAGACTATATGCAAACAGCCACAAGTGAGTGTCTACTTGGTAAATACTTGTGAGTTATTTGTTAGTTACTAAGAATATTCAGGCTTAGCCTTCTCTAGAAAGCCTAACCCTACTTTTGTTGTTGTTGTTGGCCATGGAGCTTGAGAGCTTGAACTCAGGACTTGAGTGCTATAACCCCTCTGCACATCACTTTTATAATAACAAGAAAATTAATTAATAAAAAATTAGCCCTGGGGTATAAACAATGAGCTCAAGGCTAGTGCTCTACCACTTTGAGCCACAGTGCCACTTCTAGTTTTCTTTCTGGCAGGAAGGACTTCTGAAGGATGAATAGGATTGTTTAGGGTAGGGAAAGTTATTTCAAGTTGGGAAACAACCCAAACATAGGCTCTACAGTAAAAATTAAATGTTTGGGGACATCCTAATAGTCATATTAGGATGGAGATAGGAATGCCTGGCTAGCAACAGATTGAAGGCCAGATTGAGGAGTCTGACTTATATAACATGGTCAGACTGTATGTACCTCAGTGGAGTGACATCATTAAATGAGTTTGAAGAAGATTAAGCTGATGGTTGTATGCAGGCTATGTTGAAATCAGTAAGGGCAAAAGAAAGATCAGGTAAGAATCTTTTTGCAGAAATACAGATAACAAAGTATGAAGGCTGAACTAGGATGCTGGTATAGTCCAATGGATTTTAAAATTAATGTGGCATGATGAAAAAAAATGGATCCTTGGGACAACAAAGAGGAATATAATAGACAAAGACAATTTTAAAGTTTTTAGCCTGTATTATTTTGACTGGCAAGTCATTTCTGAATGATTGATCTCTATGTCTTCAATAACTAATATAGCATCTAACATCAAGAATATGCTCAGAGGGGCTGGGAAAGTGGCTCAGTGGTAGAGCGCTTGCCTTGCATGCCTGAGGCCCTGGGTTTGATTCCTCAGCACCACATAAGCAAAAAGAATAAAGCCGGAAGTGGCGCTGTGGCTCAAGTGGTAGAGCACTAGCCTTGAGCTGAAGAGCTGAGGGACAGTCCCCAGGCCCAGAGTTCAGGCCCCACAACCGGACCCAAAAAAAAAAAAGAATATGCTCAGAAAAATTGAATACAAAACTGGAAATGAAAGTGTACTGTAAGGTCTTGATCTTAGTTGCAGGCATTTGTCAAAAAAATTGCTCAGAGAAAAATAAAAGAAAATGAAGAAGAAAAGAAATAGTTAAAGTGAGTGTGTTAAGGATGGTTCAGGCTAGAAGCTTCCCTTTACCTTGCTTATCACCAGTCAAAACCCATATTTTAATTTTGGCTTTGTTCAAAGTGCTGATTGTCTCAGGTACTTCATCTTGCAGCTTGTCTTCTATGGCTGTGGCCCCTAACAGCTTCAAATAGAGTGAGGAAAAGGGAGAAGCACACTAGTTAGTGTTACCTCACAACGGAACTAGCACCTCATCATTCTTGAGGGAGCTGAAGATCCCTGTGGGATACAACTCAGCATACTCTGTCTCTCAACACAAATAGCTTTTCAACCATACCCTGAAATCAGATATAGAAATACAGTATTAGGAACTAGAGAGGGTAAGGGCCTCAGTGATATATAAAGCTATGTGCTACTTCTAAGCCATCTGTTTCACAACACACCTTCACTTTTCTCTTGCTTCCTACCATACTTCCTAACCTAAAACATGGTGTATCTTAGATAAGGGCACTTCATATATTACTCTAGTTTTTCTTTCAGCCTGACAAGGACTGGAATGTATCTCATTGTTTATTCCCACAGGGCTAATTTTTTTATTAATTAATTTATTGTTATTATAAAGGTGATGTACAGAGGGTTACAGTTACATTAGTCAGGTAAACAGTACATTTCTTTTTGGACAGTGTCACCCCTTCCCTTGCTTCTAAGGCTTTAATAATTATTTCCCTCACATTAGATTAAGAGTCTTGTAGTTCAACACCATTCTTTGCCTTGATTATTTCCTTCAATAATATCTTAGACTCAGGACTCAGCCAAGGAATTGACAGATGGACAAACTACTGAATGATTCATTCTAGGACTCCTAGAAAGATTGACTATGAAGAGGAAATTTTCTTTTTGGTTCAGTAAATTGCATCAGGCTCTGCCCTTCTGCTCAGATTGGTTGAGCTCAGGTTCACAAGCTGCTCACAACTGGCTTTATTGAACAGGATAAAATATATTAATTACTCCTTTTATAGCAAAGCCATTCTCTATTAGTCTGATAAAAAAAATTGGATCATCCTTAACTTCTTTTTCTCATATTTTATAATTCAACCCATCAAGCAAACACAGTTTTGGCTCTACTTTAAAATTCCAGACAAAGCTGAGTGCCAGTGGCTCTCTTCTCTGGGTGCCAGTAGTCTCTTCTGAAGTTTTTTCTCTGCAATAAACATGCTGTTTTCTAACTCTCCTATTTAAAATAGCAATAATGATAACTGGGCCCACTAGGGCACACATATCATCCCTGCTATTCAGGAGCCAGAGAGGATCACTATTCTAGTCAGCCTAAGCAAAAAATTCACAAGACCCTATAGCACCAGAAAAAGCTGGGTGCAGGGCATGCACCTGTCATGCCAGCTATGGTAGGAAGTATAAAATAGGAGGATCATGGTCCAGACTGGCATAAGGAAAAAGAAAAACCCTATCTTGAAAATAACCAGAGCAAAAAGAGCTGGGGCATTGTGCCTGCTTAGCAAGCACAAGGCCCTGAGTTCAAACCCCAATACTGTCAAAACCAAGCATACTCCCTTCCTAGATTTATTTTTCCCTGTAGCACTTTCATCATTTAGCATACCATATACAATGTATTTTGTTGTTATTGTTTTTCCTACTACTACGTTTGGCACACAGTTAACGATATTTATATTATTCATAGTCTTGATTTTCCCCAGATTACTTAGCTTCTATGTGCAGCTTCAGGATAAGAAACGCTCCCAGAAAAATTATTTTTTATTATAACTAGTTCATTTTTTCATTATTAATTCAGAAGATCCAGGCATAATGAATTAGCTTGAAAACCAGTACCTAGCCTTCCTGGATATACTGGTAAGGGTAGAACCCTCTGAGAGTATAGATCTGGTTTTCCTTTTTGTGCCAGCAGGCTGGAGTCACTTGTGTGTGTGTGTGTGTGTGTGTGTGTGTGTGTGTGTGTGTGTGTATGTGTTTGTACACATGTATGTGTATATTCCAGTGTTGGGGCTTGAACTCAGGGCCTAGCCACTGTCCCTGAGCTTTTATACTCAAGGCTAATGCACTACCACTTGACCTACATCTCTACTTCAGCATTTTTGGTGGCTAATTGGGATAAGAGTGTCATGAACTTTCCTTCCCAGGCTCATATTGAATTGTGAACCTCAGATTTCAGCTTCCTGAGTAGTTAGGATCATAGGCAGGCAGGCACGAGCCACTGGTGCCCAGCACATTCACTTTTTGATATATCCCAAAGCTCTTGGGTTTTCCTGCTAAGCCTGCCTGTCTTTCTCTTAGAGAGCTCTCACATGTTGGTCAATTGCTGAAGGCTATTCTCAGAGCCCTGTCTTAGTCTACCACCCCAATCCCTGCCCCTAGTCTATCCCTCACTTCATTGCACTCACCATCAAGTCTTTTTCAATCTCATCATAGACAAAGGACAATTTACCCTCCCGGTTCTCCAAAGATAGGCAGGCTTCATTGTGCTTCTTGTTCCAAGTACTGAAATACTCATAGTCCAATTCTCGGTAGGTCACCATGAGGGTGCGAAGGCCTTCACTGGCAAAGTCCTGGAAGATGTATGTGCACCAAATCTGAGTTGGGTAAAGGCTGAGTCAAAGGAGTGGCAGAATGACCTCAGAGGTCTCATCTGCCTGAAAAATAGGGCTTAATTGTACCATGGGATTAGAATCTGGTCTAAGTAGAAAGTTCTTGAACTTTCTTAGCACAATATCCCAAGATGGGACAATATATGTTAATATTATCATTTCTTCATGTTTGTGTTTTTTTTCTTAGTACTGGATATTATTGGAGTGGACAGACCAAGACTTGAAGGCAAATCCCTTCTGTAACCTGTTTTGTGTGACTTGTTGGCTTATCCCAGCCATAGAGGGAGTGAGGCTATGCTTCTGTATGAGTGGGTTATTTGAGATGGATTCTGACAGGTTTATCACCAGAGGCTATTCAGATGTATTATAGTCAGGCCCTCCTGTTAAATATCTGTTAGACAGGAAAACATTTCAAAAGGTTTAAAACAGTTATATGCCCCCACAATCCTTCGAAGCTATTCTAGGGAAATACTCTCTGAGAAGATACCCTACATCATTGTTCAGGAAGGTGAAACATAGCCCATATGGCCCCTAGGAACCAGTGTAATATATAAGAGTTGTCTTGTGTAAAACACTTCACTGATCTTTATTTTCCCTTTAAAGTTGATAATATCTTTTCTTTAAAGTGCACAATTTAGTAGTGTCTTATTTAGTACACTCATAAAGTTTATGCTACATCTCAAATCCTGGAGAGCAGAACTAATAGGAAGTAAAACAGGGAGAAAGGAGGTGTTTTTGAGAATTCTAATCATATGGACAAGAAAGGGAGGTATTAAATGGATCCCGAGAGTTGTTCAGGTTTGGCATTTTCTGCTTTGTATCCTAAAGGTAATTATGGCTGGTGGAATAAGGCCTCCCACATTAGCAGGCTCAAGTATCAAGTCTGACTAGTGGACCTAGGGAGGCAGGAATATTGAAACTATTCTGATTTTCATTAGTGCTCCCACAGACACTATCCTTGTCATGCACCCGGGGTCTTGTTCTACCAACTCTTTGACATAGAAGTTGAAAATGTGCTCAGTGAAAATACCAACTGGACACAAAATTTCACATAATAGCCAAAAAGCTGAAACAAACTAAATGTACATCAACAGATTAATAGATAAATACAATATGGTATATTTGTATAATGAAATGTTATTTGGTAATAAAAAGGAATGAAACATTGATATATGTTACAACTTAGATAAACCTTAAAAACATTATGCCAAGTTAAGGAGACAAAAGATAATATCTTTTATGATTCTGTTGTATGAAACTTTTACTTAGTTGATAGTCTTCTATCAACTAAAGAGATAGATGCTGATATATACCTATATAGAAACACACGACATGGGGACACATTTGTAGACATCTATCCAGGTAGAGAACTATCCAAACTTCTGCTACCTGTAGCCTAAACACTTACATCTAAATGTTCCATAGTTTCTTCATTAAGTGATGTAGAGGATGGATGAAGAAGCTCACTGATGATGGTATCTGCTCCCTTACAGAACAACATTATCCGATCTTCAGGTGTTCGCACTAAAAGTGAGTAAATTAAGCAAAGTAACTATATAAGTCTACTGTTAAAAGAACTTGTCAGGGTCTTTGGAGAGATGGCAGCATGGTGTCCCCATGATACTTGTTTCTGCTACCTTTGGAGGCTGTAATGGTTAATATTGTCAATTTTATTAAATTGAGAAGTGACACTCTTTAGAGTGCTCTCTGTGATGGCATTTACAGAGACAATTAGATCATGAAGGCTTTGAACTAATGAACCAATTAATCCCTTGAATAGATTCATAGTATAATGACTCTAGTGGGAAGTTGGGAAAGGTAGGAGGAAGGACCTAGTTAGAGGAAGTAGGTTATTGGGTATATATCCCTTGGGGGTAATACCTTGCCCTAGCCTCTTCCTGTAGCCCTTTCCTTTGCTTTTTGACTGCTAGGATATGAACTACTCTGCTATATAATGCTCTTCCCAAGATAATGGAATGATATCTCTGAAACTGTAAATAGTTAAAATGTTTCCTTCCTTTAAATTGTTTCTGTCAGGTATCCTGGTCACAGTAATGTAAAAGCAATTAATGTAGAGCTCAAGAACTCAATGAGGGGGCTGGGAACGTGGCTCAGTGGTAGAGTGCTTGCCTTGCATGCCTGAGGCCCTGGGTTTGATTCCTCAGCACCACATAAGCAAAAAGAAAAAAGCCGGAAGTGGTGCTATGGCTCAAGTGGTAGAGCGCTAGCCTTGAGCTGAAGAGCTGAGGGACAGTGCCCAGGCCCAGAGTTCAAGCCCCACGACTGGACCAAAAAAAAAAAAAAAAAGTCAATGAGTAATTATGTGGTAAGGGCTGGTGAGAATGACGAAGGAACTTATGAAACCAATTCTTCCATGAGTTTAATATTCCTTGCGGAAGACTCCATGATACAGAATCACAGTTGCTTTTTTCTTCTTTTTCCTCCTCTTTCTCCTTCCCCCCTCCTCCTCCTCTTCCTCCTCCTCACCTTTCCCCTCCTTCAGTACTGGGATCTACTTGCAGGGCCTCATATTTACTAAACAGCATTCTATCACTTGAACCAGGTCCTAATCTTTCTTGCTTTGCTTGTTTTTTGTTTAGGGTCTCACATTGTTGCCTAAGGATGGCTTCCTGCGTAATTAGGATTACAGGTTACTAAGTAAGTAGCTAGAATACTGTATTATTTAGGGAACAAGATAAGGAAAAATGTTTGTACATGATCTGTAAAGGTGTAACTTTTTTGGGTGGGTATAGGGGTTTGAACCCAGGTTTTTGTATATGCTAAGCATATACCCTCCTACTGAACTACATCCTTAGACATAATTGTGGGTTCCAGTATTGGTGTTTGAACTCAGAGTCTGGGTGCTGTCCCTGAGCTTTTATACTCAAGGCTAGTGCTCTACTGCTTGAGACACTTCTGGCTTTTGGTAGCTTTTTATTGGAGATAAGTCTTACAGTTTTCTTGCCTGGGTGGCTATGAACAGCAATCTTCAGATATCAGCTACTCCTGAGTAGCTAGGATTACAGGCATGAGCCACTAGCACCTGGCCACAACTCCCCCTGCCCCTGCCCCAATATTTTGATACATGGTTGATTGAATCCATGAACCTGTAAATAAGGAGAACAGACTGTCAGACTATATTATTTGCTCCCATCTCTTACTCCATACTGAGGCTTTATAAATTTAGTTCCTGTCCTCATCTTGGTTTTGAGGGTGTTGATAAGCCATTACCTCATAACATCAGAGAAGAGACTTGGTATATGGCAGCAAGCCCTGATATGTATGTAGGAGAAAATTAAAGATGAGAGAGGAAGTGGGACTGGCTACATTTGTATTTGAGGCATAGTGTCTCTAAGAAGGTATGTAAGTGGGAAAAAGCATCTGTGAGTAAAGAGAAAGTTAATGTGCAGGAGTGTGTAAAGGCCAGAAGGCCAGAAGGCTGACTGGGAGGGGCACCCACCAATTACAGACATCCTCTTGCGCACATTGCTGAAGTCCAAAATAGCCAGCAGCTGGTAAACTTTGGTTTCTCCCATTTCGACCATGGTGATTGTCTCAGATGTGCGGGAACGGAACACAAAGCCAAAGTTTCTGGCAGCAGTGACCAAGGCACCTTCATCTGGTGACTGAGCCTGGTACACCAGCATACCTGACAGGAGAGAAGAGGGCAACTAGAGCTCACAGAGATGAGAAGCTGAAGTCCACCCAGAAATCACACCATCTTTCAAGTGGGCTACATAAAGATGGACCCAGAAGAAGATATCCTCTTTCAAAATTTCCTCACAAGTCTGGCCCTAAAAGATCAGGTTGCATAGAACATGTCAGTCTTCTTTTCATTTCCAACCTTTTCAACTTATTTCACACACCTGAGTCACTATGACTGTGCTAAATGGTACCATGCAATGGGTACATACAAAACAAAACATAAGCAGTTACTTTTCAATGTCAATGGGTAAAGATGGCCCAGAGAGTCAGGTGCCAGTAGTTCATGCTTGTAATTCTAGCTACTCTGGAGGCTGAGATGTGAGGATTGTGGTTTGAAGCCAGACTGGGCAGGCAAGTTAGTGAGACTCTTATCTCCAATTAACTAGAAAAAAGCCGGAAGTAGAGCTGTGGCTCAAGTGATAGAGTGCTAGCCTTGAGCAAAAAAGCTCAGGGACAGTACCCAGGCCCTGAGTTCAAGCCCCAGGACACACACACACACACACACACACACACACACACACACACACACACACACACACACAGATGACACAGAGAGCTTGCTAAAAATGTAGATTCTTTGGGCCTCACTCAAACTTAGTGAATTCAGAATCACAAACTATGCAAGCATGACATAGGAAATTGAATTTTTAACAAATCTCTTGGGTGATTCTCATACATATGTGGCATAAGGTACTTCTGCATATGATCAACCACACTTTGGTAAAATACTATACATACCTATCTCTGTCTCCATATTATACTCAACTCTCTCTCTCTCTCTCTCTCTCTCACACACACACACACACAAGTGTTATCACCTTTAACTCATCCTAGGAAACTAAATGACTTTCATCTGCTATTACTCAAAAATTCAACATTTTCTGGAACTCCTATGTTAAGATATTATCATAACCAGAGGCATATTTCAGATTATTTCTCTTCTGAAGATTAATTTGATTTTTAAAAATTAGGCATTATTAAAATCTTATACTTGTGAATAGGCAGGTGAGTATAGTTTTACATGAGACATAAATAAGATGGATCTACTTGACAATTGAGACCACTTTCTTGTGTATAAATAAAAACAAGGACAGATATGCTTCAAACAATAGTAGCTTCTTGGGAGGGCAGAGCCAGAGGAACATGTGATGGTATGGGAGCTCACAGCTCCAGGAAACATGAGATTTAGGTTTTTATCTCTGCCTTTCTTTACTATCGTATTTTAGACAAGTAACTTAATCACTTTTTAGCTTCTGTTCCAATCTCTAATACTAGGATCATTTTTCCTGTCCTCTATCTCAGAGGGCTGTTGTGAAGATTGTAGAAGTTAATATAAATGGAACCAATTTGTAAAACTGTGAAATGATACCTATAAATGGAACCAATTTGTAAAACTGTGAAGTGATACACAAATATATGGCATTGAAGGTAATGTTATGAGCACTGACTTAAAGTGACACTGGATGTCTCTTGCCTGTAATCCTAGCTACTCAGGAGGCTGAGATTAGTATAAGTTTGAGGTCAGACCGGAAAAAAAAGTTTATGAGATCCCATGTCCAATAAAAAGCTGGTACAGTGGTGTACACTGGCTATCCCAACTATACCAGCAGCATAAATAGGAGGATTGTGGTTATGCTAGTCCAAGCAAAAGCCAAGAATCTATTCAAAAAATAATGATCACAAAGAGTTGTAGATGTAGCTTAAGTGGTAAAGTAACTGCTTTTCAATATAAGGCTCTGAGTTCAAACTCTAGTACTGCCAGGAAAAAAGTTTTAAAAAAATGTTTTGTTTTTTAGTACTAAGGTTTGAACTCAGAGCTTCATTTCACCTGGCCTTTTTGTTCAAGTGGCTCTACCATTTGAGCCACACCTCTACTTCTAGCATTTGCTGGTAAATTCATTATTTTAAGGTTTGGATAAATTGCTGGATGATTTTTATCACACCTGATTACTAAGGAAACTAAGAAGTGTGAGGATACCTTCAAATTGTTTAACAAGAGGATGACTCAAGAAGTTATTTTCTACTTGAATGCCTTTATGCTTGCTGCCTATCAATTAATTCTCAGAAGGACAGTGCTCCTATTGCAAAGGTTTTTTTCCCTTAGATTAAGCCATTGCAATAATATAAAATCATCCCCACCTCCAAATAGCCTAGACCTTAGGATAATTCTCAGCCCATCACAAGGGTTCTTCCTCACCTTCCACTTTCTCTTCTGACATCACAGTGTGACATAACGAAAGGGTGAGGAAAAACAGGTGCACCCAGTGATCTCCACTTTTTACTGCTTCCACCAAAGTCTTGTCATAAAATGAAAATTTAGGGTCTGCCAGTTCATTGTAGGAGAAATCAACCTTGTCTTCCTGGAACATATAAGGCAGAACAAAGTTCTTAGTAATAGGTGAACTTTTTGTAGAAAGTCAACTTGGGCATTTCTGGAATATGATGAGAACTCTAAGGAGGATGAGAAGAGAAAAAGCAATATAAATGGCAAAGACACTACTAATTTCTAAGATACCTGCAGTTATGACAGGACAGTCCATTCATTTTTTGCCAGAAAAGATCCTTCCTACATGAAACAATCTCTGCATGGTTTGGAGGAACCTTCTTGCCTCCTTTTCCCTCAGCTAGTCTGGATGATTAATGGTAATCCTGAAATTCTACTCTTCCATATTGAGAGTCCTATCTGATAATTAAACCTGAATATTTGAGAGGTAACTATTTCTTATTAGGAAGTAGTGGCTAGGTAAACTGTTGTTTATGACTGTTTACTACCTGATTTTGGGAGTTGATAAGGAAATACATACCAGACATGATGGCATTTGTTGGTTGGCACTGTATCCCCCAGAGAAAAAGGTGGGGGGGGGGTAGAGCTAGCTAGGAATATTGCAAGACAGAGGCAATGCCACATGACATTATGCTCAAATACATGCTTGTCTGTAGACTTAATTGTGCTTGACTTGTCAGCATACCTGATTCTTCCTGACTCTAACTCTCATAGTTACTGTCTTGCTTATGTTCCTATTTGAATTCTTGCCTCATTCTGTGAACTTAAAATTCATTTGCCTTACCATAACCTTGGCTCCTACATACATTGACTGTCATTTTAGGCTGCTTGTGGCTACCATGAGTGAATACTGGACTGAGATTTTCTTATACCAACCCTAGAGTATGATGCTATTAACAAGTGTATTCAGCCGATACCAGAATTCTTGCTCATGCTATAATCCTAGAAACTCAGAAGGCTGAGATCTGAGGATCATAGTTGTAAGCCAGCCAAGGCAAGAAAGTCCTTGAGACTTCCAAAATGCTGGAAATAGAGTTGTGGCTTAAGTGGTAGAGTGCTAGCCTTGGGTAAAAAAAACTTAGGGAGAGGACTCAGGTCCTGGGTTCAAGCCCTAGGACCAGTATACACACACAAAGAATTCTCAAACAGGGTGATGGTGGCTCATACCTATAATCCTAGCTACTCAGGAGGCTGAAATCTGATCATTGCAGTGAGACTTTTATCTCTAATAAATACTTGACAAAGCCAGAAGTAGGGCTGTGGGCTCAAGTGATAGAGCACTAGCCTTGAGCACAAAGAAGCTCAAGGACTGTGCTCAGGCCCTGAGTTTAAGCCCTAGGACTAGCAAAAAAAATTTTTCAAGGGTCTTTCTCTAGTTCTTCATTGTTCCTCTACTTAGGCTAAGTCCTAGTATTCAAGTATAAAGATAATTGTCCTTCTTGGTGCTATGTTGGGAAAAGGGGAATTTTAGTGAGTTTTGCTGTTTTTTTCTAACTCTCATCTAGATGTAGTGTTGTTAGAAGAATTATGGTTCACTAGGGGGAGATTAAACTCTAATCCATAAACAAAAGATGAGGTCCAGCACTGGCAAAAATAGTAGAAGAGAGTGAACAGGAAGAAAAATTTGTAGTTGTTTAGACAATGACTGCTGAGTATGTCACAAATCTTGAAGTTAAACAGAGGAAAAAGATTGACAGACTGGATTACATAAATGTAAATTTTCTACACAGAAAGAAATCATCATCACTATTTTTGGTACCCATCTGAGGGCTTAAACTCAAGACCTATTCACTGTCCCAGAGCTTTTCTTGCTGAAGGCTAGAGCTCCACCACTTGAGTCATAGCTTCACTTCCAGATTTTTGCTAGTTAACTGGAGACAACAGTCTCATAGACTTTCTTGCTAGGGTTGGCTTTGAACCATGATCTTCAGATCTCAGCCTCCTGAGTAGCTAAGATTATAGGCATGAGCCACTGGTATCTGGCTCACAGAAAGAAATTAATTTAAAAAACTGACAAATGGAAAACTAATTGTAATGTGTGAGACAAAGAAAGATTATTAGTATCTCATTGTACAAAGTGTTTCATTGTGATATTTACAACATGAATATAATATACTTTGATTAAATTCACCCTATCTATTATTACGCTTTTGGAACTGCCATCCCTATTCCCTGTTCCTTTTAAACAGGTTTTGGTGAGTTTCACTGTGTTATTTTCATGCACACATAATGTACTTTTATAATGCTCACCCCCATTACCATCTCCTTATCCTTCCCACCCACTTGTTCCCCCAAATCAGTCACCTCTCACAACCATTTCATATTATTAAGTTTATTAGGTCTATATTTTGCATATGAGTGAAAACATGTGGTGCTCATCTTTCTGAGTTTGGCTTTTCTTAATATGGTGATCTTCGATTTCATCCATTTTCCTGAAAAGTGACATAATTCTTTATAGCTGAATAATACTCCATTGTGTATATGTATCAAATTATCTTTATCCAATCATTGGATGGACAAAGAAATCATTTTTCCAATCATTGGTTGGATCAAGAATAGCACAGATTATTTTATAAAGAAAATTAAGCCATATGTGTCATGGTGCATGCCTGAATTCCCAGCACTTAGAAGCTGAGATAGGAGGCTCATGAGTTTGAGGCCAGCTTGGAGGGAGGAGGAGAGAGGGAAGGAAAGAGACAGAGAGATAGAAGCTATTCTAATATAATCTATTTACATAATGTTTTCTGATGCCTCAGTTAGGTTAAAATAATTCTTTTGAGCTCAGTCTCTCTCAGTTCCTACATGATTTCTAGCAGGCTTTACCCACTCACCTCACAGACTGGCATACTCTGTCCATTTCTGTTATGGCAGTAACCTATTGGTAAGAAAATATAGCAAAGAGTTAGCAGGGAGTGTTTTGTTTTACTGTTTTTTAAGTGTAAAATCTAAGCACTAATTACATACACAATGTGCAACTGTTACCTCTGTATATCCCCTTTGCCCTCCCCTCCCCTTCCCACTCACTCTTCTCTAGTTCTGTCCTCCCTAGTCCCATCCCCGGTCCTCATCTCGCAGCTATTCCATCCAGTTCCTCCTTTCTATTTGGTAGTACTGAGATTTGAACTCTTTCACTTGAGCCATATACCCCAAGACATTTTTTTTCAATTATGTTGGATAGGACCTGGGACTGTGATCCTCCGACCTATGTCTTCTAAGTAGTTGGTATCACAAGCATGCATCACTATGTTCAATAGAATCTCACTATACCCCAGGCTGTCTTCAAACTTCAGTGTTCCCAATCTGCCTCCCAAGTAGCTGGGATTACAGTAATAAGCCTAGATTACCACTTTAATGTGCAATACTTTGTGTTTTTTTTTTAATTTTGTTTTGTTTTTGTGGTGCTGGGGATCAAACTCACAGCCTCATACATGATAGGCAAGTGCTATACCACTGAGCTACATCCTCCCCCCCCCCCCCAATGCTTTTAAAGTTCTCCAAATGAAACTTCCTATTCTTTACTATCCCCAACTCCTAGAGATCTGTATTCTACTTTGTGTCTCTATGGATTTTCTTATTCTAGATATTTCATATAACTAGCACTTTTGTCTTTTATTGCCTTGCCTATTTCACTTAATATAATACGTTAAAGTTTCATACATGTTGTAGCATTTATTAAACTTCCTCACTTTTTTGTGGCACTGAAGTTTGAATTTAGGGTCTCACAGTTGCTAAACAAGAGTTCTACCATGTGAGCCATGCCTCTAGTTCCAAACTTCATTACATTTTATAGCCAAATCATATTCATTGTGTTATGTACCACTTTAAAAAACTCATTCATTTGTTCAACTTCTCTGGCTATAAAAGAAATGCAAATCAAAACAACATTGAGACTCCACCTCACTCCAGTTAGAATGGCTATAATCAATAAATCTAATAACAACAGATGCTGGAGGGGATGTGGCCAAAGGGGGATGCTACTACACTGTTGGTGGAGTATAAACTTGTTCAACCACTCTGGAAAGCAGTATGGAGGTTCCTCAAAAGACTACACATAGAGCGCTCCTATGACCCAGCAATCCCACTTCTGGGCATAATGATCACAAAAAGGCCACACTAAAGCTACCAGCACAAGTATGTTTATCACAGCTAAGATATGGATCCAACCCAGATGCCCTCAGTAGATGAATGGATCAAGAAAATGTGATATATGGAATTCTATGCTTCCATCACAAAGAATGACACTGCCCCATTTGTTAGGAAATGGAAAGACTTGGAAAAAATCATATTAAGTGAAGTAGGCCAGACTCAAAGAAATATAGGTCCCATAGTTTCCTTCATTTGCAATAATTAGTATACATCTAGGATAATTTTATCAGATGATCAGAAAAGCTCAAAAGCTAGGTACATATGACCATATAAGATGATGCTAAGTGGGGCTGGGAAGGTGGCTCAGTGGTAGAGCGCTTGCCTTGCATGCCTGAGGCCCTGGGTTCAATTCCTCAGCACCACATAAGCAAAAAGAAAAAAGCCGGAAGTGGTGCTGTGGCTCAAGTGGTAGAGTGCTAGCCTTGAGCTGAAGAGCTGAGGGACAGCGCCCAGGCCCAGAGTTCAGGCCCCACGACCGGACCCCCCCCCCAAAAAAAAAGATGATGCTAAGTGAAATGAACCCCAAGATTTGGACACAGAGGTCTTTCTTTGTTGTTGTTGTTTTTAATGTACTAAGTGATTTTTTTTTCTTTGGGAGGTTCTTCCCCCACTATGTTATATCCTCTGTTGCATTGTACTTGATTTTGGTACCCTGCATCTTGTATATTCATTTATCTAATTTGGGGAGGGGAAGGGGAATAACAAAACGCTGAAACAAGGACACAGGATGGCCCATTGCAACAATGATACTCATAAGATACTGTATTGGAAATGAACTTTACAACTTTGGGGGGGTGGCAGGGAGGACTGAGGGAGTGGGGAGGGAAGAGATAGTGGGAGAACAACAAAAGAAGGGTTAACAATGTTCGACAAGAAAAGTACATATTACCTTACTCTGTACAGCATCTTTACAATAAAATAAAATTAAAAAAAATTCATTCATTGATGGGCATATGGGCTATTTCCATCTTTGGGCTATGGTAAGTAATGCTACAAGGTACATTTGCAGTATTTGAGTTCCTGTTTCTATTTTGGGAGGATACCTAGGAATAGTTATTCAAAGGAGGGTTTTTTGTTTTTTGGGTCCAGTCATGGGGCCTGAACTCTGGGCCTGTGCGCTGTCCCTCAGCTCTTCAGCTCAAGGCTAGCGCTCTACCACTTGAGCCACAGTGCCACTTCTGGCTTTTGTCTTTTTGCTTATGTGGTGCTGAGGAATCGAACCCAGGGCCTCAGGCATGCAAGGCAAGCACTCTACCACTGAGCTACCTTCCCAGCCCCTCAAAGGAGAGTTTTTAAGGATGCTTATGTCTGAGCTGGATGCCAGTGGCTCATACCTAAAATCCTAGCTACTCAGGAGGCTGAGATCTGAGGACCACAGTCTGAGGCCAACTCAGGCAGGAAAGTCCATGAGACACATCTCCAATTAACCACACATAAAAAAGCCAGAAGTGGAGCTGTGGCTCAAGTGATAGAGCACTAGTTTTAAGTACAAAAGCTCAGGGACAGGGCCTAGTCTGAGTTCAAACTCCAGAATTGGCACAAGAAAAAAGAAAGAAAAAGAAAGGAAGGAAGGAAGAAAAGAAAGAAAGCATGAAAGAAAAAAAAGAAAAGAAAGGGGGAGGGAGCAACGGAGGAAAGAAAGAAAAGAAGGAAGGAAAAGAAGAAAAGAAAGAAAAGAAAAGAAAAAAAGAGAAAGCAAGCAATCAAGCCAGCTTACCTTTTACTAGCCACCAGTGGCTCATTTCTGTAATCCTAGTTACTAAGAAGAGATCTGAGTATTTGAGATGTGAGTATCAAGATTCAATGCCAGCCCAGGCAGATAAATCTGAGAGATGCCTATTTTCAACAAACTAATAAAAAGCTGGACATGGAGGTATGGTTCAAGTGGTAGAGTGCCAGCATTTAGTGAAATAGCTAAGCAAGAATGTAAAGCACTAAGCTCAAGCCACAGTTCTGACACACATACACACACAAAAAGAAAGCTTATTTCTTCATCTTCCATATCAGCTAATCTTCTTGTCCCTAGTGATTCCTTTTCTTAGGCCAGTAATAAGGTCATTTTCTTGGGCCCTAGCAAATTTACCTTATTGTGAGGACAGAAGTTATTCATTAGTGGATGTATGAAAAACTTCCAATTCCAGGACACTTGCCAATTAGGAAAGTTACCTAAAAGAGTTCTGGAGTGTTTAGGATTCCTTTGTTATTTAATTTTTGTTGCTGTTTTGTTTTTGTGGTTCAGCAATTTTTTTCTATACATACATATATGTTGATTAAATCTTCCCCCTCTTTAAACACACCCCCTTTAAAAACAATTTAATGGTTTCATTTTTTTCTAGTTGATATGTATGAAGTTCTTTGATCACATCCTTTTCTTCTGCCTTCCTCCACTCCTCGTTTCCACCCTCAAAGAGTCCTCTGGTTTTACATTCATGTTATTCTTTTTTTCCCTTCTCTTAGGTCTAGATTTTACATTTGAGATAAAAATGTAATATTTGTCATCCTCAGTCTGGTTTATTTCAATTAACATGATCATTCCAATTTATCTATTTTTCTGCAAATGATTTAATTTCATTCTCCTTTATGTTTTTTGTTGTTGTTGTTTTTTTTAGGTAGGATCTTACTATGTAACCCAAGCTGGTCACCCCTGCAATGTAGCCCAAACTGGCTCTGAAATAATGACTCTCCTTCCTTACCATCCAAGTGCTTGGATTACAGATATGTAACCCCATGTCAGGCTTTGTCTAGAATTCTTCAACAGTGCTTAGTACAGATTTCTGCAAAAGTCCAGAAAGAACTTACCTAGTATACTGTCAGGTTTTACAGTGAACCAATGACTCAGAATCCTCAATAAAATCTATTCATACTAAAATAAGCCTTCAGTTTATACATGCAAAATTTTATTGGGCACGATAATAGAAAACATTAGTGGGGGGGGATCAGGGGGGAGGGGAGAGGAAGGAGGAGAGGGAAGATGGGAAGGGATGAGAAGGGGAAACAAAGGAGGAGGCAACAATGCTTGATAAGAAATGTACTCATTACCTTGCCCATGTAATTTTTAACCCCTCTGTACGATATTTTCATAATAATAATAATAAAGTAAAAAAAGAAAACATTAGCGTACTCTAGTTTTTGTCCCAGCTTAAAATGTTAAATTATTTTTGCTTCTGTCTTTTGAGACAAGGTCTTGCTATAGATGAGTCTACTGCCACCACTTCCCAAGCACTGGAATTACATCTGGACACCATTGTGCTCAGCTTACATTTTTCAGTTTTTTAAAATTGAGGTATGATTCATATTTCATATAATTAACTGTTTTTAAGTGTACAATTTGAGGGTATTCAGTGAATTTACAATGTTGAGCTGCTACTGCTTCTCTCTATTTGCATCACTTAGAACATCCCCTGTTCCTCTGCTAGCTTGTATATCAGGCATGAATATTCACACAGGACTTTAACTCTGTCTCAAAAACAAGACTATACTTAGGACCTAAGACAAAATGAGGGATTGAGCCTAAGAGATACTGATCAAGCTTTGATTGCCCTGTGAAGGCTTCTTTTAAAGCTATCTATTGCTCTACTGCAAAAACAGAGATTAGCAGCTTCAGTATTGTGCTGTTCCATCTGACTTACATTTTATTTATGCTTAAATTTCTTCTTCTCCTGCTCCTTCCTCTCACTCTCCTCCTCCTTTTTCTTCTTCTTCTTCTTCTTCCTCCACCTCCTCCTCCTCCTCCTTCCTCTCTTCCCTCCTCCCTTTTCCTCCCTCCTCCTTCTCCTTCGTCTTTTGTGTATGTGTGTGCTGGTCCAAGGGTTTGAACTCAGGGTATAGGCACTGTCACTGATCTTTTATGTTTAAGACTAGCATTCTACCACTTGAGCTCCATTTCTGGCTTTTTTGTTGCTAATTATAGATAAAAATCTCATGGACTTTCCTGACTGAGCTGGATTTGACTTGTGATCCTCAGATCTCAACCTCTTGAGTAGCTAGGATTACAGGCATGAGCCGCCAGCACCTGGCTAATTTTAATTTTTAATTAACAAATAATATATATATGGGCACAATGGTGCTTTCATATATGTGTATATTTTAAAATAATTACATTTTAAATGATTACAATTAATTACTATATATATCACTTCACATACCTTTTATTTTGTAGTAGGAACATTTTAGCAATTTTGAAATATACAATATATTGTTAGCTATGATCACCATGCTCTGTAATAGGTAACAAACTATATTCTTGCTACACTGAAAATTTCTACCCTTTTAGCAATATCCATCTGATTTAATAAGATAATGACCTGAGTGTATTTATTTGTCCTCAAACATGGGGAACTCTTGAGGACAAAATGTATGTTAATTGCTTAGTTACTAAAAGGCTTATAAGATTATAAAGTAAATGTAAATTTCAGAGGCTTATAGTTTACTTTATTAGTTTACTCTTGAAAGCAATCCATGGATAGAATTTCTTTAGGACTCAGGGAATACAAGAAGACATGCATACCGTAGCGTTTTCCATTGATAGAACACTTGCTGAAAATCATGATGTTCTGAGTCAGGGTCCCTGTTTTGTCAGAGAACACATATTGGACTTGGCCAAGCCCATCATTAAGGGTGGTAGTACGAGCCTGTGCTGAGGTGTTCTTTGGTGCATAAAACATCTTCCGGTCCCAGTTGATATAGTAACTGTTGCCTAGTCTTATTATTTCAATACTAAGGATAAAGCAAGAAAAGAAGGGTCCTGGTCAGAGCAGGACAATCAAAAACAATATCTCAGTTACCTTTTCTTTGGTGTTGGTCCTCGGTCTTCAACTCAGGGCCTGGGTATTTACTTGAGTTTTTATACTCAAGGATAGCACTCTACCACTAGAGCCACAGCTCCACTTCATGGGATTTCCTGCTTGGGCTGGCTTTGATTGTGATCCTCAGAGCTCAGACTCCTGAGTAGCTAAGATTACATTGGCACCAGGCTTCAGTTTCCTTCTTACAGATTCTGATGGAAAATGACTTAAATGGAAAGCACTCAACTTCTCTACTCCCCACAGCCATATCTGAGACCTATCCTTGCTACAGATCCTGCTAAACCATCTCCCTTCCCCTTTCCCTTGAACAAATGCATTGGGGATCTTGAAAAGGAGCCTGAGACCAAGACCATGTCTGATGCTGATACCCATATGAATATAGATGTGGCTGAAAACTTGAAACTCCTCAGTCAAAATAACATTGTTCACCCACTCCACCTCTTGCTCACCCCACTTCCATATGCTCCCTTCACTTTCTACCTAATATTTAAAGAGCCGTAGTTGTAAAAGGGGATGCTACATTTCCCCTTCAGCCTGGCTGAAGACTTGGTTGCCCTCCCCAGGCTTCACTCCTGAATAAAGCATTTTGGTCTGTTACTTTCTGCTCTTTCCTTATTCTGAGACCCTTATAACTCAGTTTCCTTACAGGTTCCATGTAGGTCAGGACAGCAATCGAAAATCAAAGCATCTTCCCTGGGAATGTAAGCTTCCTGAACAATCTTGACAGACCCAGAAGCTAGCTCATCAAATCTCCAACCTTGACCATTAACTCAAGGCTTTTATACCACCTGGACCCACATATACCTGATTAACTTACCTGAGATATTCCCTCCTTCCACTCTTTGTTTGTTCTTTAAAAAATGTGTTCAGGAAAAGTCATAATCTTGCTGGGTGTTGGTGGCTTACACTTGTAATACTAGCCACTTAGGAGGCTGAGATCTGAGGATTGCAGTTTGAAGCCAGTCCAGGTAGAAAAGTCCCCATAAGACTCTTATCTCGGGCTGGGAAGGTGGCTCAGTGGTAGAGCACTTGCCTTGCATGCTCGAGGCCCTGGGTTCGATTCCTCAGCACCACATAAGCAAAAAGAAAAAAGCCGGAAGTGGCGCTGTGACTCAAGGGTAGAGCACTAGCCTTGAGCTGAAGAGCTGAGGGACAGCGCCCAGGCCCAGAGTTCAGGCCCCACGACCGGACCCCCCCCCCCCCAAAAAAAAGAGACTCTTATCTCCAATTAACCACTCAAAAACTGGAAGTGGAGTTGTGGTTTAAAGTGGCAGAGTACTAACCCTGAGTAAAAGAGCTTAGGGACAGATCAAGTCCCACAACCAACAAAAAAGTCACTCTTAATTTCTAGAGTAACAGTTAATAGAATAATAGTAAAAGTTGACTTGTAAGCAGCTATGTTGGCCTATTTAAGGTTTATCATCACTGTCCCATGGGGGAGACACTTGTCATACCCAACTTTCTTTGTTTCAAGAAGAAGAAAGAAGCCGGGCGCTGGTGGCTCACGCCTGTAATCCTAGCTACTCAGGAGGCTGAGATCTGAGGATCGCGGTTCAAAGCCAGCCCGGGCAAGAAAGACCGTGAGACTCCTATCTCCAATAAACCACCAGAAAACCGGAAGTGGCGCTGTAGCTCAAGTGGTAGAGTGCTCGCCTTGAGCTGAAGAGCTGAGGGACAGCGCCCAGGCCCAGAGTTCAAGCCCCACGACCGACAAAAAAAAAAAAAAAAAAAAAAAGAAGAAGAAAGAAGGTATAAAATGGAAATAGCTTTTTGGGGTGAACCTCTGATAAATTTCAGATAGTGCCAATCTACCTGTGGTGTGTCTCCTCCCCTAGCAGCTTCCTTTTTATATGAATTTCCCCAGTGCCTTTGCCACACTCCTCCTCTGCAGCAAATAGAGTACATCATAGATTCTTTTTTTGCATCATAGATTCTTTATAGCCGACAAGTATTTCATACTTCAGTGAAGACTTTTTAACTGTATTGTTTTTGTCTTTTGATTTTGGTACTTGGGATCCAAACTATGATGTTGCACTTGCTAGGCAAGTGCTTTGCCATTGAGCTACATCCCAGACCTTTAGTGAAGATTTTTAAGGGACCTCTTTCCTGTCATTGTTCATATACTTAGTGTGTATTATTTTGGTTTGGGTTTTTGTTTTGCTGATCCTAGGGCTTGAACTTTGGGCCTGGGCACTGTCCTTGAGCTTCTTTTTGCTCAAGACTAGTAGTGCTTTACCACTTGAGTCTATAATCCTAGCTATTCAGGAGGCTGAAATCTGGGGATCATGGTTCAAAGCCAGACTACTCTGTAAAACTCTTATCTCCAACTAACTACCAGAAAAAGCCAGAAGTGGAGAGCTGTGGCTTAAGTGTAGAGTGCTAACCTTGAGCACGCCCACGGACAGTATCCAGGCCTTGAGTTCAAGCCCCAGACCCACACCAAAATAACAACAACAACAATAACCAGTGTGTTAGGAAGATAAAAGGGGCCAAGGAAATATTTTTCTTTGGTGACTTAAGAAACAGCCTTTACTATAAGCCCAACTTTACCTATTTCAAATTTTGTCCAAGGTACTTGTGAAAAGTGGGAGGAAACACACTTACTAAAGAGTCCAACTTTTAGGAGCTAAACTTAGGCCATAAAAACATCTACTTAGAATTTACCAGCTTATTTCTTTAGAAAAACTCATTTTGAGTTTTGATTGACACACAGATGAATGTTTAGAACCAATCCATCTCATTGCCAAGAAGAGGCTTAAGTAGCACCAAATTTGTCTTTTTTCTAATTATATGCTATAATTATGTACACTATATGCTCTTTAAATCTTTACTTTATGCAGGCTTGGTGTACAAAATACTCTAAAAAATATCTAGAGCTAGGTACTAATGGCTCATGCCAGTAATTCTTGCTACTCAGAAGGCAAAGATCTGAGGATCATGGTTCAAAGCCAGCCCAGGCAGGAAAGTCCAATGAGACTCTTATCTTCAATTGACCACCAGAAAACTGGAAGTGGTTTTGTGGCTCAATGGTAAAGCACTAGTCTTGAGCAAAAGAACTCAGGTACAGGCCCTGAGTTCAAGCCACATGACTGACAACAAACAAACAAAAATATCCACACAGACCCTATCATAGAATTCTGGACAAAGAAAGTATTTATGCAATCCCTCTCTCATTCTCTTTGTCTATGTATCTATGTATCTATTTATCTATGAATCTATCTATCTATCTATCTATCTCTGGGGTGTGTGTGTGTGTGTGTGTGTGTGTGTGTGTGTGTGTGTGTGTGTGTGTGTGTGTGTGTGTGTGTGTGTGTGTGTGTGTGTGTGTGTATGTGTGTGTGTATATCCCTGAAGGTCCTGGGACTTGAACTCAGAGCTTGGATATTATCTTTGAGCTTTTTTTGCTTTTTTTGTTAGCATTATACCAATTGAGCCACAGCTTGACTTCCAGCATTTTTGGCAGTTAATTGGAGTGAAGTATCTCAAGGACTCTCCTGCCTAGTTGACTTTGAAACGTGATCCTCAGATCTCAGCCTCCGAATAGCTAGGGTTACAGTATGAGCCATGGGCACCCAGCTCTAGATATTTTTTAGAGTGTTTTGTACATTAAGCCTGTGGAAAGTAAAGATTTAAAATGCATATAGTATAACTTTCTAAAAGTTCATACTCAAGGAAAGGGTGGCATTGTCCAAAAAAATATTCATTACCTGACTTATGAAATGGTAATCCCTCTGTACAACATGTTAGCAATAACAATAAAGTTATATTTTAAAAGTTCATACTTTACTTGGGAAATTAAATAGAAAATATGAAATCATGCTTCCCCCCTAATAATCCAATATGGTCAAAGAAACTTACCTGACATAGAGGGAAATGGGTACCATGGTGTTGAGAACAATGAAGTATGACCAAAAAATGAGTGTGGCAGACAGAAATGATGAAGAGACATAATCTTCCCATGGTAAAAAAATCTGGAAGTAGTAGCCTTTGTTGTATTGCCAAATGCCATGCCCAATTGCTAGGATACAACACATGGCACTTAACAACAGGAAGATCTAAGTAGAAAACACAAACAAAAATTTAATTGAATGAACATTATGGTTCTACCATTTGGAGTCTTGCCTGTCAACAAGTTTCTCTCTCCTTGGAGGACACAGAGGTCATATAATTCAGAGATCTTGAACAGAGTATACAGAACAGAAGCAAAAGTCCAGCAGGAGCTTTTAAGGGAGTTTTTAAGGAGTTTTTTTAAAAGAGCTTTTAAGGGAATAAGACTAACTAAAATATTTGAAGTACTAAATGAATATAAAGAACTATGTTGGTCTTTACTTATATTATTTAATACTTATAATAATACCTTTTTTGTCTATTCAAAATTTATTTATTATTTTTTTCTCAGTCACAGGGCTTGAATGCAGGGCCTGGGCACTGTCCATGGTTCAATGTTCATTTCTTAGCCAAAGAATCTGCTATTTTTCCAAATGAAGTTTCATAAAACAGCTATTTGTTAAGCTTTGCTACTTCAAGCAGGATGAAACTTAGAGCAGAACCCAAGTGATTTTTCCTATTTCCCCTGCAGCATAATTTGAAAATCATCAAGTTATTTTTTTATTTTATTTTTTTACCAGTCCTGGGGCTTGAACTCTGGGCCTGGACACTGTCCCTGAGCTTCTTTGGCTCAAGGTCAGTGCTTTACCACTTGAGCCACAGTGCTACTTCCAACTTTTTCTGAGTAGTTTACTGGAGATAAGAGTCTCATGGACTTTCTTGCCTGGGCTGGCTTTGAACTGAGATCCTCAGATCTCAGCCTCCTGAGTAGCTACAGATGTGAGCCACCAGCACCTGGCTGAAAATCATCAGTTTTAACAGTCCTCTATTAGTCCACATATATTTTTTAAGAGGTCATGAGCAAAACTGATTATGAGACTATAACGATATGTCTAAAGTGCTAAAAAAGAGTCCTTGATCTATTATGGCACCACTAATTAAAGTATAATATGTTATTTAAAAAGTATTTTCACCCCTCACAGAAGAGATGTCACCTAGATTCCCTTGTAAACTGAGTCTGTTATTTTCTGCTTCAAATCTTAGTCTGTGAGGTCCTAAAACTTGACATTTTTCAAAAAAACAAATTCCAAGTTGAAAATACCAGCTATTAATAAGAAAGATGCCTATTTGTAAAGAAACAAAGAGAAGTGGTCTTTAACTTACCCAGATGACAAGAACATTCAAGAGATGGTCTATATGTGTCCTTTTAAATGTAGACTTTCCACTATTCTGCATTAATTTGGTGTCTGGCCCTAAGTAGAACAGGGAGACATCAGATCTTAGAATATCTAAATATACTTAAAAGCCCTGAAATTGGATTGAAGTGCATCTTTATATGATCACTTATATTTTAACGACTTTTGTAGTTCCAGGGGATAAAGCCAGTAACTCAGAAAGGAATATTCATTCATTTCTAAGGTTAAGCCCAACCATCCTGAACGAATGAAGTCTATTAATGCTGACTTCTCTCTTTGGTACTTCAGCCTTCATTTTCAAAGATGAGTTAAGTCAGAATTAACATCACAAATTTCTTTCTCATCACTTGGTTTATTTAGCTTAGGGAAGGAATTTATTGACAAAGAGATTTCTGCTTCCTTCTGAGGAAATCCACCGCTAAACAAGGCTATTTTTAAAGTTTCTAGATAGAAATGGCAGAATAAAAGAGGCAATGCCAATGATTTCTCCTAAATGGAAGCTGGTCGGCTGAGACATCCCTGGGGCTAAGGGATAGACATACCATGTTTCTCCATGACAGTAAGTAAGAAGGCTCTAATGGCCATTAGGACTGGAGTTGCAAACTACTAACTGGAGATATAGCTGTAGACAAAGAATAGAAGAGCTTAAATAAACTGTAAGCGACAATTTCTCTGCATTTTTATCATCTGTTGTTCTGCCATACACTCTAATGAAGGAATTTCACGAATAGTACACATGGCGGGAGCTGGAACTTCCCCAGATATGTGGGCAATCACTGAATACACTGTGTTTTTCTTTAGTCTGAAACATTCTTTGAAGGATCTGAAATAATAAGAAGCCTGGAAACTACAAGGGCCACAACTTTTAGGGTCCTTAGAAAGACTTATTGTTTTCTACCCCAGGTTTTAAGAAGGTGAAGACCACTGTAAAATTTGAGCCCATTAAGCAGGAAGAACAGCTCAAGTCTACACTAAGTAGCTCAGGATGCTCTCGGCAATACTAGTTCTACTGAATGTGGGGCTTCCCAAAGCTGCCCTCTACTATGTAGCTACCACATTCTCAAGAGTCAAGGAAAGCTTGTGTAAGTTGTACCTCACTGTGTAAGTTGGAACCTCACTGTTATTGCTTTGGTTAAAAAAATCCTTAGGGTGAAAAATTAGTGGCCACTGTGTGTGTAGTAGCTGCTAAGTTATGGTGAAGAAAATAAGTCTACTTTACATCTTTTGAGTTCGAGAGCTAGGCAGTTTAGAAGCTGAAACTTTAAGCTCACGAACTAATGAAAAAGGCCCCAGCAGGGCCTTCCTGAACTCCTTCAGCTTTTCCTTAGGGTTCAAGTCCCCCCCAGCTTTTTTCCCATAGAAGTAAGGAGACTAGAAGCTCCAAGTTTAAGAGCACATTCTCTAGAAGGGGAGCTCTGTGATCTGAATTGAGCAGTCTTCTATGCTAAATGTGTGTTATGATTTGGATCTTAAGTGTTTCTCTAAAGCTTGTGTGTTAAAGGCTTGGCCCCCATCCGATGATACTATTGGGGCATGGCTGAAACTTCAAGTGGTGATAGGGGCTGGATGGAAGTTAGGTAACTGGAGAAATGACCTTGAAGAATATATTGGGATCCCAAACATATCTCTCTCTTCTGCCCCTCTCTTCTAAGCCACCACGATACAAGAAGCTTTGCTCCACCAGTCCCCCAAAGTGACAGTGCCAGCAATCATGGGTCCAAACTCCAGAAAATATGAGTCCAAATAATCATTCCTCCTCTGAAACTGTTTATCTCAAGTATTTTGTTACAGGGACAGAAAAGTGACTAACAGTGTTGTCAGTGCACATTGTCAATGAGGACACAGAATAGTAGAGTGGAACTATATTTTCCTGAGTCATATTATAACTCAAGAAAATCTCTTGTTCAGTATTATGAATCGTGTATCTAAACGACATCTCAGCCAGGCTCTGGTGGCTCATGCTTGTAATCCTAGCTATCAGGAGGCTGAGATCTGAGGGCAGTGGTCTGAAGCCAGCCAGGAAGAAAGGTCCATGAGATTTTTATCCTTAATCAACCAGCAAAAGCTAGAAGTAGAGCTGTAGCTCAAGTTGTAGGCACCAGTCTTGAATGAAAAAGCCAAGCAAGAGCATGACACTCTGAGTTCAAGACCTTGTACCAATATGCACACATAAAAATGGTCTGCTACTAATATAGCACTTACTTTCTAATATAAACTCTTCACATTATATTTTATATTCTTTTCAGCAATGAGCATGGTCTCTATTCTCTCCCTCATTGAATTAATCCACATGTATATTCTTCTTTGTCACAGGCTAATTTTCTTGTGCTTTGTCTAGATTCATATCCTCTCTGTGTCCAGTTATGTTTTGTTTGTTTGTTTTATTGTCAGTCATGGGGCTTGAACTCTGGGCCTGGGCACTGTCCCTCAAATATTCAGCTAAAGACTAGCGCTCTACCACAGTGCCACAGTGCCACTTCTGGATTTTTCTATTTATGTGGAGCTGAGGAATCGAACCCAGGGCCTCATACATGCGAGACAAGCACTCTTCCACTGAGCCACCTTCCCAGCCCTCCAGTAATGTTTGGAATTTCTCATTAGTGGTGTTGGAATACAAGTCTTCTTCTAACAGAAGTGGAGCTGATGTACTTGAAGCACTTTGTTTAGGAAATAGTGACTATTTTCTAAGATAATTTTTTCTTAAATATGTCATATAACTATCCATTTACCTTCCTACTTATCCTTAAGCCATAGTGTTCAGAGTATGAATATGAGTGTCATGTTCGCATATTGAAAACTAATTACTCATAAGTTGGCCCAAAGTAGAATCTACCAGGTTGAAAATCTGGCTGTGGCTGCAGAGACACTTACCAGTATAAATTACCAAGCCATAGCACCAATCAGTATTCTTGATGATGCAGCCTCGGAGCAGCAGCTTGTCTTGGTCCAGGAAGTACTTTTCCCCCTTATAGGTTAGTATTCCTGAGAACTTATCCAACTTGTTATTGGGAGGCTCACATTTCACTTCTCCTGCAGAAAAATAAAGGAACAAGAGTCATAGCTTTAAAACATGATGGAAGATAGCTCACCAGAAAAGCAGTAAAAAAAAAAATCCTCCTTCAAAATACACAAATTCCTTTCCCTTATCTTCTCTCAGATACTCCCTATTTCTCACCAGCTCCTTTCCTAAATGGAGACAAAGGTTTCTGGACATCAACAAAGAAATTTTGTATGTGATATGCATTACCCAAAGAGAGAAAAACCTATTATAACTTATGACCATCAGTACCTCCCAACAGTTGATCTCTGAAGAAACTATAAACTGATTAAAGAAAATACTGTATCCAAAACAAAAATATTTTATTTTTCCTGATTAGGAAATATTTCCTTTGTAAATATTGATGCCATGTTGAAAGTGACATAGAAAGTAAAATCTATTTACTTTTTAGAGAAAAGTGCTATTGACCTGGGGTATATCCTCTTAAGTGTTGTTTTGTATATGTACTCAAATATATGTTTTCAAAACAGATTTATGTAAGACATCCTATGTGGTCTTTGATCATCTGTATTTTTCTCCTATTAATATGTTGGAAATGTCTTTACATGTCAATATACGCCAACATATATATTACTGTAATGTGTTGTATAGAGTTTCCTGTTTGGATATACTGTATTTTATTTAGCCAGTCTTCTTGTGATAAAAGTTTGGGACCTATTTCCTAAGTTACCATCAAAGGCAGACAGTAGCTCCAGGTTATCTTTCATGTCATTGGTAACTGGGTTGGCCTGCTTCACTTTCAGGTTGGTTTCACTAGAGTTAAAGACACAAGATCAAAAGAGTATAGGATATATATACAACAGCAACAGAGGATAAGTTTTTCCTATTCATGGGGTTTTAGAAAATAGATGTTGCCAACAGAGCTATGTATCTTGTAAAGCCATTGTTTCCTGGTCTTACGGACTTAAGGAGGTAGCATAATTATGCCAGGATACTGAGTATTAATCCAATCATTCCCTCCTATCTCCCTCACACTCTACATACATCATCACAATTTTAACCAACTCAGGAGGTTTAGCTGGTCAGCTGCTCAAGAGATTATGAAGTTATCACAAAGATACCTTTCAAGTATAAAAATTCAAAGCTGGGCACCAGTGGCTCACACCTATAATCCTAGCTACTCAGGAGGCTGAGATCTGAGGATGGCATTTCAAAGACAGCTGGGGCAGAAAAGTCTCCATGAGACTTTTATCTCCATTACCACTCAGAAAAAGCTGGAAGTGGCACTGTGGCTCAAGTGGTATAGTACTAGCCTTGAGCACAAAGAGGATCAGAGACAACGCCCAGGCCCTGAGTTCAAGCCCCACAGCCCACACACAAAAAAAACCCTTCAAGAACAAAAGCAGATGTCAGGGGATAGTGGCTTCTACTTATAATCTGACCTAATCAGGAGGCTGAGATCTGAGGATGAAGTTCAAGGCCACCCTCGGCAGACAAATCTTAGAAACTCTTACCTCCAATTAACCAGCAAAAATAGAAGTGGAGGTATGGCTCAAGTGGTAGAGTGCCAGTGCCAGCCAGGAGTGAAAAAGCCAACGGAGGTGTGAGGACCTGAGTTCAAGCTCCAGTATTGGTGCATGTACACATGTGTGTACATACACATAAGCACAGAGATATAGAGGGCTGCTTTACAAAGTGTCTCCAGTTTAGGGTTGGAGAATATGGAGTTTATTGCCTAGATTCTATACACAGTGAATGTTCAAGTATTGCTGCCAAGAGCTTAGCCAGGATCAAGATTCCTGTCTTTTCTCATTCATATATTTCTAGGTTTCTTGGCTTATGTAGTATCACCTCCACCTGAGAAGAAAGTTAATTCCTTGCATAATGCTCTTCCTTCTGTGAGATACCACTCTAAGTTAGCTAAATTGTCTTAATGAAATATTAGACATCTTACCCATCCAGCTCTGCTGTTTCAATATATGTCAGACTGAATGGTTCACTGCTAGAGAGTAACAGTAAATCTGCCTGTAATTAGAAAAGTCAGAAGAGAAAAGCCAAAGGCAGGCTTAACATAACAGTGTGACAAAAACAGTCCCTCAGAAACAGATGCCAACCCTGAGAATTTTATAGACATATTCTTTGTCTAGGATTCAACATTGCTATCAAACACCCTTTGCCAAAGCTTCTCACATTTTGCCTGTAGCTTTGGTAAGAGATGGACAAGAATAGTCTTCTCACCTAAGGAACTCTTGGTCTCCAATGTGAAGTGAGGAAAATGAAGGTTACCAAGAGCAGTAGAGTTAAAAATGCTACAAGGGCTCCTGATCCCCACTCAATCCAAAAAAGCAAAGGTTACAGCCAGAGCAGGCACTCACCGTAACTTGCTCATTATTTTTTAGTTTTATTATATCTCCCACTTGGATATTCTTCCATTTTTCTTCTTCTATCCTGTAAGAAAATAATATTTGAATATCTGCTTGAGAATTTCCCCAAAGCTTTGACAATAAACATAAAACAAAATGAACAGAAAAGCTTGAGATGAATGGGCTTGAGGTTTATGAGGCCCAAATTGATGTGTGATGAACTCTTTCTGCAGTCAAGAGTGGGCCCATTTCTCTTGACTTCATGCTATAAGGGTTTCCCAGGGTCCCTCCCTTTTCTTCCCTTCCCTTTCCCCTCTCTCATTTTCTTTTCCCCTCTCCCCTTTCCCTTTCCTTTCCCCTTCTCCTACCCTTTCTCCTTCCTTTCCCTTCCCATCCTCCCTTCATTTCCCCCTCCTTTCTCCTCAATTGTGGATTGAACCTAGGGCCTTGCACAGACTAGGAAAATGCCTTAACTTGTATCCCCAGCCCCAAATAGTTTTTGATCTACTACTTGAGCCATATCTCCAGCTCTAAAGTCACTCTTTGGTTTAGTGATTTTGATAGTTCTGAAGAATAATAGCCATGTCTTGATTTTGTTTTGATCAGACATTTTTATACTTTGCCAGGTTCTCTAGAATACTAACTCCCAGCAAAATATGAAGAGAAAGCAAGACTAAAAGATTCTGGTTCTTTCTGGTTATTTTTAAAGTTTATATTTAATTACATTGAAGAGCAGTGAAACTATTACCAATTTGTTCCTGGACATTACAATAACCACATGTCCTAGATAGGATGGCGCAGAATTTTCCTACTGACTTAATTTTATATAGATGATACCTTGTGGGATTCTATACCACATTAGCACTTTTCATTCTATAAATATTTGGAAATACTATCTAAAATAAAGCCAACATTCTTTCAAATGTAAGGCTATATTTGTTATAAATTAAGGAGGTAGAAAATTCCAGAATAGTGTGCTTTAAAGCTTTTCTTGCCCTGGATGGGAAGAGGATTGCCAATTTTAAAAAAATCTCATAACTTCAGTTTTACTTTGTCTTTCCAGGGGGAAAGAAGCCTTATAATCTTAAGAGGCAATGTATTAGAATTAAGAACCTTTCATAAAGCCAAGGCCTTTAAAGATAAATACCATTAGTGAAAGGGTAATATAAACTATAAACCAAACCAAGATAGGCAAGACAGTTTGCCTATCCTAATCTGGAGCACTGGGAACCAGTGAGTGGAAGACCCGTTCCTGGGCATCAGAACTTCAAGCAATATAGGATTCACATTTATACTTCTAAATTTGGTCCTGGCAGGTGTGTCACCATTTGAAACCTAGAAGAAGCAAACATAAATCCCTCAAGCCTTAAGCCAGGTGCAAGTGGTGCATACTTATAATCCTATTACTCACTAGTCTGAAATCTAAGGATCATAGGTCAAAGCCAGCTAGGGCAGGAAAGCCAAAAAACTCTTATATCCAGTTAACCACCAAAAAGCTGAAAGTGGAGCTGTGGCTGAGGTGGTAGGGCGCTAGCCTTGAGTAAAGAGAAGCTTGGACACAGTGCCCAGGCCCTGAGTTCAAGGCCCAGGACGTACAGGCACAAAAAACAAACAAACTTCCCTATGACCTAGCAATCCCCTTTTGGGCATTTACCCAAACAATCACAAACAAGGCCATACTAAAGCTACCAGCACAACTATGTTTATCACAGCATTATTCACTATAGCTAAGATATGGAACCGATTCAGATGCCCCTCAGTAGATGAACAGATCAAGAAAATGTAATATATATATATATATATATATATATATATATATATATATATATATATATATATATGCGCAATGGAATTCTGTGTCTCTATCAGAAAGAATGACATTGCCCCATTTGTTAGGAAATGGAAAGACTTGGAAAAAAATCATATTAAGTGAAGTAAGCCGGGCCCAAAGAAACATAGGTCCCATGGTTTCCCTTATTTGCAATAACTAGTATATATCTAGGACAAGCAGAAAAGGCCAAAAGCTATGTACATATGACCATATAAGATGATGCTAAGTGAAATGAACCTCAAGATAATGACACAAGTGGTTTTATCTTTCTAATGTACTATGTGATTTTTTTTATTTCTTTTTTTTCTCACTTTTTTTTTAAATTGTGAAAATACCATACAAAGGGGTTACAATTACATGGGCAAGATAATGAGTACATTTCTTATCAAATATTGTTGCCTCCTCCTTTGTTTCCCCTTCCCATCCCTTCCTATCTCCCCCCCCTCCTCACCCCCTCAACTCCCTCCCCACCCCCTTCCCCTCCCCTTGCCAAAGTTGTAAAGTTCGTTTTTCAACATAACGATTTTTATTTATTTTTATCTTTATTTATTTTTTGTGGTCCAGTCTTGGGGCCAGAACTCTGGGCCTGGGTGCTGTCCCTCAGCTCTTCAGCTCAAGGCTAGCACTCTACCACTTGAGCCACAGCGCCACTTCCGGCTTTTTTCTTTTTGCTTATGTGTTGCTGAGGAATCGAACCCAGGGCCTCAGGCATGCAAGGCAATCGTTCTACCACTGAGCCACCTTCCCAGTCCCATGACTTTTATTTCTTTTGTATGTTTTTCCCCCATGGTATAACCCTTGTTCACTGTATTTGATTCTGGTGCCCTGCATCTTGTATATACATTTTTCTAATTTGGGGAGGGGAGGAGAAATAACAAAATGCTGAAACAAGGACCCAGGTTGACCCATTGTAACAATGACATATACAAGACACTATGTTGAAAACGAACTTTACAACTTCTGTGGGGAAAGGGCAGGAGGAGTTGGGGAGAGAAAAGATGGTAGGGGAAAAACAAAGGAGGGGTAACAATGCTCAATAGGAAATGTACTCATTGCCTTACTCGTGTAATTGTAACAATAAAAATATATTTTAAAAAACTCAGGCAACTTAGATTCTCCTAGAGAATGCTCCTCTAAAGATGGGCTTATAAAGAAAATTATTGAGAATGAACTGAGTATGGTTATTTATGCCTGTAATCCTAACACATAGGAGGATAAGGCAGAAAAATCATGAATTTGCAGCCACCTGGGCCACATGGCAAGACTGGAAAGATGGCAGATTACACAGTCATATCACATTTGTTGGTCTCCATGAACCACTAATAAATACAAAGGGGGCTACAAAGAAAGGTGGGCAAGTTATAAACTAAGGAGGTCACTAGACAATGGCCAGAGAAAAAATTTAAATATGATTGATCACGGATTTATAAGAGAAATAATAGAAAACAAAACTGCTTGCATAGTGGCTGTACCTCTGTCACAGCACAGAAAAGAGGGAGTCAGGTACTTCCTGGTGACTGCCAGATCCTTAAGATTACTACTCAGCCCAGTCAAACGTAACTGCCCACATGGGACTTCTAGTAATGTGAGGTGACCAAAGGCCCACACACCTGAGACAAGTTAAGAGTTGGGGAAAAAATACTCACCTATGTCTCTGGTGTATCATGGTAGAAAATAAGCCAGGTACATTTCCCTGTGATCTTCAGTCATTCCTGTGTCTGTTAGACCCCCAAAGATCACCGCTTAGCTCAGTGTAATAAACACAGCTGCCCCTGAGGGACTTGGCAAATGAGCTGATCAAAGACTTGTGTACCTGGTACCAGTCTGGGATTGGAAGGAAAACATTTGGCATCTATGCTTCTGATAGAGAATAGGAGAGAGGAGGCAGAGTACATGTCTCTATGATTAGTATATTTGACCTGTGACCAACAGACCCAAAAGAACTTATTACAACCTAGCACATACAAGTAATACAGCTGTGCACAAGAGACTTTTAGCAGAGTGGGACCTGCTCCACATTACCTCAGAAGTTAACCCCTGTCTAATCCTCAATCAACCAAATCAGGGTAAGAGCAGGGATGTAAATATAACAGAAGAACTGCAGTCAAAAAGCTAAAGACCGGAGATTAGAGGAGAACATCCATATAATGGTAGAGTCAAACAGACATACATTCTTCTCCTTAGCAAGGAAGATATACTGACTTTCTACCTGTATGTACAGGTACATATACACACTAAAAAACAAGGATTAGCTAAAATCATAGGACTCATATTCAGTAATGTAATTGGAGAAAACCTCCAAATCCTATACCCTTCCAAGTATAGGAGGCCTTTAAGGCCAGAATAGAAGCTATGCAGGGCATATTATAGTTAAAATATTGCATATAGAGAACAAGAAAAGCATATTGAAAGCTGAAAAGGAAGAGTCAAGAAACCTTCATAATAACAGTAGAGTTCTCAATAAAAACCTTAAAAATAAAGGAGGGCATGAAATGATACATTTCAAGCACTAAAAAAATCCCTGTCGACTTAGATTACTCTATACAGAAAAGTTATCATTCATAACTGAGGAGAAACAAAAAACACGAAGCTGGGTGCTGATGGTTCATGACTATATTCCTAGCTACTTAGGAAGCTGAGATCTGAGGATTGAAGTTTGAAGTCAGTCCAGGAAGAAAAGTCTTTTATCTCCAATTAACCACTAAAAAGTCAGAAACAGAGCATGTCTAGAGTGGTAGAGTGCTAACCTTGAACAAAAAAATCCCAGGATACTGCTCAGACTTTGAGTTCAAGCCCCAGGACACACATGCATGTATGCATGCGCGCGCGCACACACACACACACACACACACACACACACACACAGCCTACAGAAGATAAATGGTCATAAAATTTATGACAAGACACTATGTTGAAAATGAACTTTGCAACTTGGGAGGAGCTGGGGAGGGAAGGGATGGTAGGGAAAAACAAAATAGGGGGTAACAATGCTCAAAAGGAAATATACTCATTACCTTACTCATGTAACTGTAACCTTTCTGTACAGTATCTTTACAATAAAAAGATATATTAAATTTTTTAAAGCAGCACTACATAAGAATCCTATAGGAATCCTATACACAGTAGAAAAAGATACCATATCCATAAAAATATAGGAAAAGATAAATTACACATGACAGATAAAATAATCAAATGAAGAATAGGAAAGAATCAAACACTACAAAAATAACAAAATAGCAAGAATTACTACATACTTTTCAATACTAACATTTAATATCACAGGCCTCAATTCTCTAAAGGAATAGAATGGAGAGTTAGATTAAAAAGCATGATCTTTTGCTATAGAAGAAAAAAGGGACTATAACAATGTGTATCATTAATATATTCTACTTCAGGCTAATACCAACTAAATTTGGTATATTGTAAACTACAGTATTGCAGTTTTGCTCTGATATAACACCATTCCCTCTGCTTTTTTATGCTAACACTGCCATAGATATATATCTGAAAGTTAAAAAACCACTAGAAAATACATGATCTAATTTGTGCCTTCAAGAAACTCATCTTACAGATAAAAACAAACATTGGCTTAGGGTAAAGGATAGAAAAAGATCTTCAAAGTAAATGGACCCCCCAAAAGCAGAGAGGAATATCTACACTCACAGCTAATAAAGTAGACTTCAAACCAAAACTACTCAGAAGAGTCAATTCATTTGGCAGCAATTCTCTAGCTTTGTCATTTCTTTTTATTTTTATTTACCATCCTTTAAGAAATCATAACTGACATTTCTGGTGTTTTGTGTTGTATCTAAACAATTCATAACACTTGAGGACAATCACTATGAATTACAATCAGTAGACACAATGAATAGCAGGGTTAGATGACCAAGAACTTCAGGCAATAGAATTAGATGATAAAAACTATAGCTACTAGATGTTCTACAAGGTTACCATAAGAAAAACTGGACTTCAATCTTGAATTCTTTCAGGTTTGAACTTTCTTTTATGTTCATTTTGATATTTAAAATGATTATTCAACTTATTGAAGTTACAAATGAAAAGCACAAATGAAACAAGGTTTGCGCATTCTTGCATTCATGCTGCTGTTGACTTTGATCACTCTTTCTCTCACACAATCTCTATTCATTGAAGTTTTCCCATCCCTTAAGGCCTGTTCAGACATTACCTCCTCGAGAAGAAAGTCTTCCTTGGATCCTTTTGCAGCTATGATTTCTATAATAATTTGCTATGGTTTTATAATATAGTCTATATTTTCCCTGTACAGAAATATGCCTGTTTTCTTCTAGTCTTGTCAACACTTTAGATAGCTACAACCAAACACCACAACATTGTTAACATGAATACCATCTTTGGATTTTTAACAAGAAAGATGACCCACTCAAAGGCTACAGGAGAATGCCCTGTAAGCCATGTCAGAATCCACTGATATTCTAAAGACAAATGTTTCCACACTCCTACAATTGTAACAATCACTTCTATGTTAATATCATGCTATAATATATTAATCTCTTTAACATGTTATTTCATTTTTATTTCCACAAACATTCTCTAAGGTATAGAGTATTATTCTACTTTTAGAAAAGAGGCTTAGAGACATCTGTAGTAGCATGGCAGTTGAGGCCATGCTAGATAACATCAATAAACAAACTCTTAGAGCATGAATGAGACCCTGAGTTCAATCCCCAGCACCAAAAAATTAAATGGAAACAAATTCTTCTATGACCAATCTAAGGTTCTTTTCATTGCCTTGAACTACCTTTCCTAAGGACTGAGCATATTAAACTTTAACAATGATGACCTTCTTGTCCAAAACTAATCTACTTAAAATGCCTTACCTGCCATTCATCAGCAGCAGAACAGAACGATTGTTAACTTGATTGTCACTTTGATGCCTTTTCTAAAATCACATAAGAGAAATGTTTAGAAAATAGCAAATTACATATAGAATTCACAGTTTTTGAAGTATTATCCATTGTTGTTCTATTTCTTCATTTATCTCCTACTTCTTACTCCAAAGCCCTTCAGCCATTAAAACTAGAACAAGAAACTCTTAAAATAAGACAAAAAGTAAGAAAAAGAACCCAGGGAGAAGAAAAAAAGACAAAAAAAAAGCTTGATACCAAACACTAAAACCAAAGCCCAGGGGCATGAAAACAAACAAGTATGTCAAAGACTCAGAAGACAGAGTAAACAATGATGACAAGACAAGTGAAGTTGCCTAGTATTGGCAAGCATATTCTGACTCCAGTGCCAACTTGTTACAGGTGTATAGAAGTTTATGTAGTGGATACAGAGCAGAAAGAGGCCAATATCCAAAGACCAAATAGCAGGAGAACAAATACAGAATATGTTCTAATGTCAGGATTCACATAAATTTTCCCCTTTCTGCTGAGGTAAAAGGCAAGAATAAAAAAGGGGATGGAATATACGGAATGGTCACAATTCTGAATTGTGCCAACATTAATATGAAAGAAACTGAATTCAGAACAAGAAGAGTAGATGCATTGCCCTGAATGGGCAGGTTAAGTTTTTAGTTCTTATTGGAAAAAATGAGGAATGGGGTATGCATACAGTTCTGAGCAAAATGAATTCAGAAATATATGAAATTAACCCTATAAAGAAATAAAATGTCAGTTTTGCATATTTGACTTGTGACTGAAATTTAAAACTATGCGACCTAGTGAGTTAAAGAACTGGAGACATACTGTCCTATAAAACTTTGGTCTAAAAATTTATTTTAGCAAAATTAGAAGGACTATTTTGGGGAATTACAAGGGTTGGTTTCTCAAATAATCTATTACTTAACTCACTGTCAAAGGCCAGTTTCTCTTTTTCACACCAGGAAAAAAGTAAGCCTCTGTATATGTTACACAGCTTTCTGAAAACAAAGGGCTCCTAGTTGTGCATGCTGAATAAAACTGATAGCCAAAAATGGTGATAGGAGAGTGTTGGAGGGAAGAAGAGACACAAGAGGAATAATAGAAGAAAGAAGGAAGATGGACAAAGCAAAGAAGGGATATAAAACTAGAGAAAGGGGAGAAAAGAAAGAAGGACTATGACATAGCTAGAAGCTAAAAGCAGGGTTAAAGACTGGTTTTTTAAAAGGAATGGAAAGAGCCCTGGAGTAGTACCAGGAGGACAGACAGAAGCTCTGCACCTCCCCTTTTGGGCCATGCATGAACCACCAGTCTTGGTCCACTGGCAGTTACATAACCCTCTGACAAAGATAGAAAATATGTTTCCATCCAGTACTTCTTTGCACAAGATAGTTCTGGGAAGACTTTTTGTTCACAGCCTGACTATTAGGTATAGTGTGGGAAGCCCAAGAAGCCAGTTCACCAGATCATCGATGGCATCTTTCACTCCTGTTATAGACAGCACCATCACTAGTGGTATCACTGTTGTATACCATGCCAAAGCAGAAATCTCAGGAATCAACTGTGAGAGAGAAAGAGAAAAAAATATAATCAGAAGACTTAAAAACTTAAAGGACTGATCATAATAAGTTCCACCATCCTACTTGTTTTTCACTGCTTTACCTTTCCTATAACCACTCCCCCACTCCAAATATAAGTAAACATTTCTCAAGGAAGGGTAAAGAAGAAAAAGCTGTAAGTTTACCTATCTAAGCTCCACTACCTTAGTCCTGATGGAGAAGATCCTTTTCTTCCCTAATAATGAAAGGTACTGGAGGTAGTACAGTAAGAGTAGATGTGACAGTCAGGTATGATGGTTATGTCTATAATCCCAGAAATTGGGGAAATCAGGCAGGAGGCTGAGTTCAAGGTTACTCTGAGCTACACAGGCCCAGTCTCAAATGAGTAGCTGTAGGAAAATCACATATTTCCCAAACTCCTAAAACACAGGGGAGGTGAAATGATTGGTCCTCCTCTCTCAATTTGGCCTACCCTTCTTTACTTGTGTCACTCTCTCATATTTCAAAGTATTATACACCCCTAGTACTCTTAATATATCAATTTCCTGTCATGGAGGTTAGGATGACAAAGAGCAGTCTCAGTTGGGGTGGTGAAGAGTTCTGTAGCTTCCTATGATCAACCTGAACCATGGTCATATATAATCGTGTTGAGGAGCGCCCTTTCCTTGTGATTTGAGGACTTTGTCTCCTTCCACTTAGAAAGGCTTGATTCATACTTGCTAATCCTGACCTTGCTTCTCTAGAGGACTAGCCTGAGACTCTGGCCATCCATTTGCCTGTGTCTAAAGAGAGAAGATATTTCTCAGTTAATAGGCTTATTATATAACCTGAAATTGTCCTTGGGGAAAATACCTGTAGAAATAGCAAAATGAGGAAATAGGCATTTGCAAGTCTCTGGAACTGTTCAAATAGGTTCAGAGGCAGGAAGTTAAAGACATTATATTTCGATGTCTTGATGGCATTGTTCTGTGAGTAAACAAACAACAATAACAACAAAACCCACCAAAGTTCAAAGACAGATAAAAAAACTGATTGATCTATATTTATTTAATATTCAGTTATATATAGTATGATAGTATGATGGGAAAATGGGGAGCTTATTGTTAGGTAAAAATGATGATGGATATAATCTTTTTAGAGGGGAATCTAATATATGTTATAATTTTTAATATATTTTCCTTTTAGCCTAGCCAACTCATTAACAGGGAATTCTCATAGTATATATGAATACAAATGTGTTACACTACGTGTAAAATGGTATTTATTCAGGGCTATTTATCCTAGAAAAACATTGGAGACATTTTGAATATTCATCAATAGAAGGCTAGTTAGTTTAAGGTTTATTGATACAATGGAAAACAATTCTGTTATTGAGTAAAGTAGGTCTACATGAAGTGTTATAGATGTTGAAGTGGAAAAGGATAATTGTGGAACTATGTTTTCAGCTATGTAAGAAAAAGCTGTAGCATTTCTTTCCTAAAGCTTACATATAATCCTAAAATCTGAGACATAATCTCCCTTGAGATTAGGGCACTGTAGTAATTTTGGTTCTGAGCCCTCATTGCACCACTTTTTGTATACTTAAAAGAAAGAAGAATTTATATGGTAGGGTCTACAACTATAATGAATTTTGTTTACTCAACAAAGGGGAATGTCATAGGAAAATATTACCACCCTTCTAAAATAACTACATGTAGGATACTCACAGGATATCCATAAAGAGTGTTGAGTTCTCTGTTGTTGGCCTGTAGAAATCTCCCTTTTGAAAGGAAAAGAGAGGAATAACAAGAAGGATGTTCCTCTTCAGTCAGCCTGGATGTTAGCTGCCAGTGAAGACTTTATTAGTTTATCATACTTTCTTACTGAAAAAATCTGTTTGAAAATGTTTCTTTCCTCTTTATTTAAATAATCAGTGTATATAAAGGAACTCCTCAAGTATTACAACTTTCTGGAAGGAATAAGTACTTCATTAATTAATACCTCAAAAGTACTTATAACATACCAATAACAGACAAAAACACAACAAAAAATTACAAGCTAATCTCTTTGATAAACATAGATGCAAAAGTTCTCAAAATATTTTTCCAAAGATATTAAAATTGAATTCAATCACACATTTAAAAGATCATATACTATAAGTTGACTTTATTTCAGGAATTCAAGGATGGTTTCAAAATACATAAATCAAATGTAATACAGGACAGAGCAAAAATTACATGGTCATCTGAAAAAGTCTTTGACAAAATTCAATGTTTTTTTAATAAAACATCTGAACAAACTAAGAATAGAAAGAATGTACCTAAACATAATAAAGGTCATATATGACAAACATATAGCTGAATACACTAAATGGGGAAAAATGGAAATAATTTTTGCTGAAGTAAAAAATAAGTCAGGTTACAGCAAAAGCAGGAATGTTGAAAAAGGTGGTTAAAGCTTCGCTTTTTATAATCATCTAAAAAAAGAAACTAAACATGTAAGAGAGAAAAAAGACAAGTTTAAGAAAAGAAAGTAGCCAGTCATCTCCATGAATATTATTGTCATATTATGTAATAAAGATTAATTCATAATCCTCTGCACTTATAAACACTCTGACAAAAGACTAGAGTGACTAAGTGTTCCCCATTATTTCTTACTTCAAAAGTTTTTCCTTTGAAATAAATATCTGGTTATTTTTTTGCTCAGGGTTAGTGCCACAGCTCCATTTCTCTCTTTTTTGGTACTTAAATGGAAGTAAGAGTATCATGGGATTTCCTATGTGGGCTGGCGTTTAATCACAATCCTCAGCCTCTGAGGATTTGGTTATTTGGTTATTCTATTGTGAAACAGGAAGGAAGGAAGGAAGGTAGGCAGGAAGGCAGGAAGGCAGGAAGGCAGGCAGGCAGTCAGGCAGGCAGGCAGTCAGGCAGGCAGGCAGGCAGGCAGGCCCACCCTCCCCCCACCCCCTTTCCCCTTAAGACAAGTCTTTCTATGTAGTTCAGGGTAACTGTTCACCCTAGGTGCTGACATTACAGCCATGCAACAACATTCTCAGCTTATTATTTTTCTGCTTCTTTAAACATTTCTCTATCCTACTGTTTAGGTCCTGGATTTAATAAAGATTTGTTGAAGTGAAAGATGCTTTACATATAACATGGGTTCTACTGAATTGAGGTCAGGTCCTGTGCAAACTTCTCCAGTGGAAGATAATCACCTTCCTACCTATGGGAAGATTCATATAATTACAGAGTTACAATGAAGATGTCCAACATGGCTGAGAGTGTATGTACAGTGCAGTGTCAAAAGGGTCTGAAGAGAAAGTTGACTTAAGTCATGACAGTCCTTGAGTTGTCCAGCTCTCCTATCTCCACTATCCTGTCTTTGTCCCACTATGCCTAGAACCTCATTGATTCTTATGTCCAAGTTCAAGAAGAACTAGACTAGAATTGTTAAAAGATCAGGTCCTAGCCGGGCGCTGGTGGCTCACGCCTGTAATCCTAGCTACTCAGGAGGCTGAGATCTGAGGATCGCGGTTCAAAGCCAGCCCGGGCAGGAGAGACCGTGAGACTCCTATCTCCAATAAACCACCAGAAAACCGGAAGTGGCGCTGTAGCTCAAGCGGTAGAGTGCTCACCTTGAGCTGAAGAGCTGAGGGACAGCACCCAGGCCCAGAGTTCAAGCCCCACGACCGACAAAAAAAAAAAAAAAAGATCAGGTCCTAAAGCAAATGAAAAGTCATAAAGCAAAAAAAAAAAAAAAAAATCGACTTAATTAACAGGGCCCCATTAAAAAAACTGGTTTGGGTGGCATAACTCAGGACATGCTGACACTGGTGTCCAGGTTGGTTTAAGTTTTCTAAAAGAGGGCTGGGAAGGTGGCTCAGTGGTAGAGCACATGCCTTGCATGCGTGAGGCCCTGGGTTCGATTCCTCAGCACCACATAAGCAAAAAGAAAAAAGCCGGAAGTGGCGCTGTGGCTCAAGTGGTAGAGCGCTAGCCTTGAGCTGAAGAGCTGAGGGACAGTGCCCAGGCCCAGAGTTCAGGCCCCACGACCAGACCCCCCCCCCAAAAAAAAAAAGTTTTCTAAAAGAACATAATTCTAGAAACTAGTTCCAGAAACTTTAATGTCTGTTTTTTAATCACATGTTGAAATATAACTTATATAGCATACAACCCACCTATTTAAAATGTATATTTCACCTCGACCTGATGGCTCTCACCTGTAATCTTAGCTACTCAGGAGGCTGAGATCTAAAGATTGCTGTTTGAAGCCAGCCTGGACAGGAAAGTTCATAAGACCCTTATCTCTAATTAGTCAACTAAATGCTGGAAATGGAGCTGTGGCTCAAGTGGTAGAACACTAGCCTTGAGCAAAATGACAGCTTGGGACAGTGCCCAAGCCCTGAGTTCAAGCCCTAGAATCTGAACAACAATAAAACAAAATGTATGTTTCAGTGAGTTTTCATAATTTCACAGAGCTGTAGAACCTAAATGACTATTTTTTGTGTGTTTATTTGAAAGTTCTGAGAGCCTTCTATTTTAAGGCCCTAATACCACTTTTTGCTCCATATATTTCAATATATATGCCTTTCTCCCTTTTCTTTTTTTCCCCTTCCTATCCTCCTTTCCTTTTAGTTTGTCCAACCCTTTTTCCTTTTATGCTAATACTATTTTCTTAGTGATTTAAAAAATTACTTAAAGTAATATATAAATAGACTTTTACTCCTTTCTCTCACAGAAACTACTGTTAACAGATTGCCATATATCCTTTAAGTTCTTCCTTTCCAGAGTCATATATACTAATATGTGTGTGTTTATTTATAAATCTTATGTATATATCTTATCACGTTTTTTTTTTCTTTTCACACTATGTATTAGAAATCTTTCCATGCCAGAACATGCAGGTCTGTCTTACCCTTTGCATTATTACTTTTTGCATTATTCAACTGTCTCTCAATAATAGATAATAACTACTATTGTGCTGTCATGTTGGTGGAGACAATAATGATATTTATAGAAATATATAGATGGTAAGGGGGAGGGAGGGAAAATGGAAATAAATACTTTTGTAAACTGCAGGATAGATCCTTTTACTCTATAGGATTCTATTTATTTATCAAAGTCCAGAATTGGCAATTCCATAGAAATACAAAATGAGTTTGTGATTGCTAGGGCTGAGTAAAAATAGGAATTTGGAGTGATTGTTATTGGAGATGGGAGTGATGATAAGGTTCTAAAGTTAAATTATGGAAAAGTTGCACAGCTCTGTGAACATATTAAAATTCACTGAGCTATGTATAAGTGAATTTTGTGGCATGTGAATTGTATCTCAATGCAGTTAGGGTTTTTTGCTTTAAGCCACAGAAGCTAAGCATTGTAGGACTTTTATTTTTTCTTTTTGTCAGTCATGGGTCTTGAACTCTGGGCCTGGGCACTGTCCCAGAGCTCTTCAGCTCAAGACTTTATCACTTGAGTCACAGCACCACTTCTGGTATTCTGGTGGTTAATTGGAGATAAGAGTCTCACAGACGTTCCTGCCCAGGCTGGCTTTGAACAGCAATCCTCAGATCTCAGCCTCCAGAATAGCTAGGATTACAGGCGTGAGCCAGGGGCGCCTGGCTGCAGTATTAGAATTTAAGAATTTAGGGAATTAATTGTTGGTGAAGGACTCATACTTATCCATAAAGATAGAAATAGGATAATTAGAAATGTAGGGGATTGGTATAGAGATATGAAAAACATAATGTCTGGCACTGAGACAAGTTGTATACATAGAACAGCAGGGGGAAAAATCTGACAGAGGTCAGAAACAAGATTATCAAGTCAGGTGAGTAATATCAGACTAATGATCTTATATTTTATCTAGCAGCTGACAAGGAATCCTAGAAATACATTGAGGAGGCAAAAATGTGATAACAATGGAATTTCAGAAAGTCTATGATAAATTTACAATGGAACAAACTGTAGATATAAGAACCACTTAAGGGCTGGGAAGATGGCTCAGTGGCAGAGCGCTTGCCTTGCATGCATGAGGCCCTGGGTTCGATTCCTCAGCACCACATAAGCAAAAAGAAAAAAAAAGCCAGAAGTGGCACTGTGGCTCAAGTGGTAGAGCACTAGCCTTGAGCTGAAGAGCTGAGGGACAGTGCCCAGGCCCAGAGTTCAGGCACCACGACCGGATCCCCCCGCCCCCCCCCCCAAAAAGAACCACTTAAAAGATTGCTATAAGTTGATATACTTAAAATGATGAAAACCTGACCAATGAGGTAATAGGAAATAAAAGGAGACCACAAACAGCAGTTCAATGTCAGCCTCCCAAGTAGCTAGGATTATAGGTGTGAATGACCAGTGCTAGACTGGTAGGTTGGTAGTTTGATTGGCAGGATGACCAGTCTATTTATCTGTCATATTCACAGGAGCATGTGCGTGTGAGCAAGCACACACACACATGCATGTACACACACACTTTTTAGAAGCAATAGTAAGAGTCCACCTACCAACTCCATCTTGTTTGTTTTCAGTTTGGCTTTCAAATACAGACATTGAAGGGTAGTTCCAACTATAATTCCATGGAATTACTGTAAAGGAAATAAAAAGATTTGGAATTTCTCATGTTGATACTGTTTTAAGTATATGCTTAAAAAACTTGGTACAGGGGCTGGGATGTAGCTCAGTGATAAAATGCTTGCCTAGCAAGTGCAATGCCCTGTGTGCAAGCCCTTATACCAAAAAAGAAAAGATAAAAAGAAACATGGAACTTGACCTCTGAAATCTGAAATAA